CCTAGAAGTAAGGAGAAATTTTCTGACAGTAAGAGCAATGAATCAATGGAATAGCTTGCATCCTGGAATTGTGGTGGTCTGTCACTTGATGTTTTCAAATGTAGACTGGAAAATCATTTTATTGGGATGGTATAAAACTCCTGCCTTGATCAGTGGGTTGGATTAGAAGACCTCCAAGGTCCCTCCCAGCCTTCTGATCCTATGAATTCTTTGACCTCATCAATTAATTTCTGGTAACTTCACCAACCACTCAACATTTGTTCTGCATCATACGGAAATATTAGAAGGAATTTCTGCTGTGAAAATCACTCTCTACAGAGAGATTTCAAAGCGTTTCAGCAAAGTCAGTCACAGCTGTGGGGGTTGTCCAGGAGAAGCCATCTGTTCCATGGGAGGAGGTGAGAGAAAAGAAGAAAAACTACACCTTGTATTGACAAGGCATTTTATCTGTCCAAAAAGAGTGACAAAAAAAAGCCAGACTTCTTGTTGTTTTTTTGATTATCAGTTTTCTTCACTACAGGCAAAAGTGTTATTTTCGCAACTTGCTGAAGGAGAGAAATAACTACCTCAACAAACCCCCATCTTGCCAGGATTCCTGACAATTAATTAGTTACCTAACTGGCTTGACAATCATATTCAAAAAGTTCTCATCAGTGGCTGCTCGTCAAACTGAACAGACGTATCAAATAGATCAGTGTTGGTGAACCTTTTCGGCATGGAGTGCCGAAACAGGAGCGTGCATGTGCATGCGGGGGAGCATCAAAAACTGGCAGAGCAGCTCTCTGGTGCGCATGCATGGGAGTGCCGGAAACCGGAAAAGCAATTCCCCAGCGCGCGTGTGCGTGCCAGGAAGCTGAGCTTCCGGTTTCCAGCATGTGATGTGTGCCGATCACCTGGTCTTCCGTTTTCTGGTGTGCAGGGGCATGCAAAGACCGGTGTGTGCATGCACGGGCAAAGACCAGCGTGCGCATGTGCGCCAGGGAGCTGCTCTTCCAGTTTCCAGTGCTCCCATTCACACGAAGACCAGCTGGCTGCACCGGAACCTGGAAGAGCAATAGCCAACGGCTGGTGTGCCCAGAGAGATGGCTCTGAGTGCCACTTCCGGCACACGTGCCATCACGGAAATAGAGGGTCAGAAGGATTAGTCATTCAGTATTTTCATTAATAACTTGGATGAAGAAGTGGAGAGATCGGGAAATGAGCTGAAAAGTAGCAGACTATCAGGGAAAAAATTGCCATGTCATTCAGTTTAGGAATCAAAAATCGAATGCACATAGGTGATCTTCATTCCTCAGAAGAAATGCAGTTGGAAGTTGCATCAACTGAAGTAACATTTCCAAAACACCTGAAGCCCCTCCTCTTCATATCACAGCTGGTCCTGAATTGGAGAAGCGATTTCCCCATGGGATCCCCTGGCAGGATCTCTTTCAGTCCTTTACAAATCACTGTAAGCAAAAGGCTGTTGCCAAAATCTTCCACCCGCTCAGGGGCTCTCGGGGTAATTTCCTTCTTTTCTGGGCATATCCACTGAGAAAAATGTAAGGCTTTAGTAAAAAAGGGACTTGAGTATTGTGTATGATGGGAGAACAACAGTCATAGATAAACAAATAGTATCTGATGGCAATAACTTTTAAGTAACACTAGGGTAAGAAAATAGTCCCCAAAAATCTGAAGGGCATTGCTTTAGGAGAGTGTTTCTCATCAATATGGCAATTTTTCTTTGTTTTGATATTTTATTCATTATTTATGTGCCTAATTCAGTGCACATAAATTATCTCTTTCTCTTTTTTTAATTAACTTTAGTGGAATGATTAACATTCCTCATGCCATATCAGCGTTTCTGTTAATTGCTTTGAAATATATGTTTTTAAGATTATATCTATTACTTAAGGAGACAAAAATGTATCGGGTAGATTTTATGTTCTATTTTCCACTCTTTTCTAAGTGCTTTAAAAGTCCTTGTAGTCCAAGTTATTGTATTGCATCTAATTTTAAAATGCCTAAAGAAATCAGTTTTGTCCTCAATAGGGGGGAAAAAGTGTTAGGGTATTAAAAGAAAATTAGAAGAGGAATAAATTATTGAGCTATAGTATTTTAATGGGATTTCATGATTTTTTTTTATTGAAAAAGTTTTACAATTACATTTTCTCCCCATTTCCCCCCCCATCCCTCCCTAACCTCCCTAACCTCCCTAACCCTCCCCAACCCCCCTAACCCTCCCTAACCCCCCCTAGCCCACCCCTCCCCCCCGGACTTCCACAGAATATAATCCAAATCAAAATCCCCTTTTTATAAAACTTGAACCCCTCCACCCCCAATATATTTTTTCATCTTCACAAAATCCAAATATTTCTATCTTTATATAATACTTTCAGTTAAAAGCTATTTGATACTTCCTAGTTTGATATTTGTTCTGCACATAATCTATCCACTTTTTCCACTCCCATTCATAAGTCTCTTATGAGCGATCTTTTAGATATGCTGAAATCTTCACCATCTCTGCAAAGCTGGCCATCTTCAAAGTCCATTCCTCGATAGTGGGCATGACTTCATTTTTCCAATATTGACCTATCAGTAATCTCGCTGCTGTTATCATATACAATATCAACTTTGTTTCACCCAATGTAAAGGATTTCATGTTTTTAATAGCTTTACCAAATGGGGTGATCTCTAGATCTATGAATTTCAACTTGTGTAAATCTCATCTACTTTAGGAAGTCCATGCTGCATGTAGATTGGAAAAAATAGATTTTTGTCCCTGTAATATTTTTTCCCACTCTGTTTGAGTGAGTTTTAAAAGACTTTCTCATTTGAGGTGCCATTCAAATATGTGGAGTTCATCTCCTGTCATTCTTCAGTCAATAAGGCTATTGCTGAGAATTTTGGGAGCCCATCTGGTGGAAGCCAAATTGGGAAGGTGCATTAGAGAAATGAATCCCACTGCTAACTCAATCTTTCACAAGAAACCTCCATCTTTGCTTGTTCTGTCAAGGTGTTGTCTGTATTTTTCTATGAAGATGACATTCTAGGTATTTCTTCACACATACACACACACACAGAGAGAGAGAGAGAGAGGGGGGTGAAGGAAGGAGAGAGAGAGAGGAGAGAGAAGAGAGGAGAGGGAGGGAGGGAGAGAGAGAGAGAGAATGTTCTCCATTGCTGGATTAATGGAAGAAAGCACTTTTCTAATATAAATTATAATTAATCTATGGAAACTAAAATGAAGCCAATTTTCTAAGCATATTTGCTTAAAAATTAATTCCAAAAGAATGGAGATATTTCTGTAAAAAAATGATCACAAGAAATGTTCATATGATTTCTTCAGTCCAGATTCTGGACTGTGTAGTTCAGAACGGCCCCATTTCTGTGCCCCCACTTTTTTTCTTCATGATCTCTCACAAATAGGCTTATGTTACCATCATAATCGCCTGATTTTAATTTATGTTATCTCTCTTTCTGCATCTAGGCCCTGGGGGCACCCTGGCCTGACTAAATGCTGTACTTTCTTTACTTTAAAATAGAACTGGAAACAGAAAACCTCCTATAAGTCTTTTGGAATCATAAACCTCCCCCACTTTCTATGAGCTGGAGGGAAGACAGGCTCTTGGCTGATAACAAAGCTTCCCACACCCACTATAATTAATAAGATGAAGCACACAAAGCAGCTGCCTTCAGTGGATTTCAATAACTGCCCTTTCTTGTTTCAGAACCCGAGAAATCAGCAGATACCAAAAATATTAATCTGCAACACATCTCCCTCCAGATGTGTTAGGAATATAGCCCCCAAAATTCTCAGCCAATGTGGCCAGAGATGACCACAACTTAGATGATTCCAAAGTGGAAATGTCTGTTCTTCAAGGATATGAACTAATGCTTGATGCAAGGTTTCTATTCTTGCAGTAGCTGCCTTACAATGGTGGTTAGGGATGATCATTTCTGGTACCAGGTGTCTAGTAAATGCCAAGTTGGGGAAAGTTGGGTCAGAGTATTAGTTAATAACATAGAAATCCTGATTCCCACTCCCAGGACAGGGGTGTCAAACTGTCAGCCCATGGGCCAGATGCGTCAGATGCAGACTATGCCACCCCAGCTCTGCAAAGCGTGATGGCAACATGACATGGCGAGTTTGACACCCATGCCCTAGGATTTTAAATGTACTCTTAGCTTGAGCAAATCTTTCTCTGGCACTCCTAGAATACTTTGACCATTATGGAAATAAAATTGGAGTGGAACCATGTATTAGTGCTTATAAAGTGCTAGGGTTATGTACAAATAAATGTTTTACTTTGACAGTGGTTCAAGAAAAGTGACTCTTGGTTTTTCCCAGCAAGAACCTCATGTGTTCAGCTACTGTTTTGGAAGTAGATAGACTGAACGATGCTGATGAGTCCCACCTTGGTTTTTCACTGAGGCAGAGTAGAGTGATGGACCAATATTTTGCAATGCCAGGGGTGTGTGCAATACCTTTGTGAGGCAAGGGATTTCACTGAGGCAGAGCCCTGTGATTCCTCTCTCTCTCTTACACACACACACACACACACACACACACACACACACACACACACTGTTTTGTGAGCTGAATCCTATGCCTGATTGTTTTATTGCTGTTGCTTCTCAGACCAAGAAGCATGAAAAAGCTGATCTTGTACATGTTTAAGAGTCCTTTGAGATATGACTTGAGGAGCAAAATTTACTGCCACGCTTGCCTGTTCCTGTCTAAAGTTTACCTGATTGTAGATGCACCATGAGGGGGATCTTAGTTTGCTCTCATCATTCAAGTGGAAGTAAATATTCCACAATCAAAAAATATTTTATTGCTGCAATTGTTGGGGATACTTAGAAGTTTGTAACAAAAGAATGAAATAGTTCCATACTGTGTTTGACTAAATCATTTACATGAAATGAAATGAAAATCTTTTTTTAAGAAAAATCTGGATTTGAACCTCCCTAAGATGCATGTTTTTTCTAATATATCTAACCTCTAGTCTGTCTAATTTCAGTTTCTGCCCAAGCCAGCAAGTACCCGTGAGTCACCATGGCAACCAAGCAGCCTCCCCCTCTGATGAAGAAGCACAGCCAGACAGACCTTGTGAGCCGTCTGAAGACAAGGAAGATCTTAGGTGTTGGCGGGGAGGATGATGATGGCGAGGTTCATAGGTCAAAGGTAATGGGCTGCCAAGGGTATCTATAATTGTGGTCCCTTAGAATCAACCATTGTTCTTGCTGAAAAAAATTATAAGCTTTGAGCACATACTTCAAAAACTGCAGGAAATGAGGTTAGGCAGGGATGAAGAACATGTTATCCTCCAGAAATTCTTAAAATTCCAAAACCCATGAATCCTAAGTGCATAGCTCTTTGTGAAAGATGCTGAGAGTTGCAGTCCAGCAACTTTTGGAGGATTGCAGCTTGACCATTTCTTGACTAACATTTTTTAGAATACCTTCTAGCTCTAAAGTCATATTCCTGGTAGAACAAGGGACACTCAGCTGGATAGAAGATGTTGGTAGTTACCTCCCTAACATGAATATGCTGTGTTCATAAAAACATCCAAAATCTGAATTGCCTTTCAATAGAGGATAAATCTGCTTAACACACTATTAATGTTAATCAGATAGATTGAGTGTATCTAAGAGGGGAAGTGTGTCTGGGGACTAATTATGTTACTTTAAGGTTCTTATTTCCTCTAAGATTCTAAAAAAAGATGAGAGAATTGATGAAATGTAAACCAATGACCCCTGGGTATTGTTAGACTCCAATTTCTGTCAATTTCAGCCAGAGTAAGAATGCTGTGATCTGTATGCAAGCAATACAGATGTTTCCCAATTCTCATGTCAAGTGCTGTGTATATGTAGAATGATTCAAACCTAATAAGAGCCTGCCTTGTTCCTTGACATATTAACTTCTGAAAGATTGTGACACTTGGTGAGGGAAAGAAAGATTCTGTCGTCATCAAGCACTTGTTTCTTTGTTTCTTGAGTCATCTTGTTTGGTCATAACTAAAAAAATAATAATCCTTTTTTTTTTTATTCCAGAATTGAGGATTGGGAAACTATTAACCTAATTAATCAAATATTTTATTTGATCAGAAAGAAAGGGTGATTGCAGGGCACATACATGAAGAAGGAAGGGGGTTGGGAACAATCTGTGCAAGTTGCACAAATGTGTCTTGGAGTAGGACCAACTTACTAATAGTGATCAGGCTTGTAGGACAAACTTCTCAGAATGTTTAGCAGAAGTTAGAATTGAGAGGGCTGTATACATGAGTTCTTGGAAACCATGATTTCTCCTATATTCTAAGCAGCATTTAAACAAACAAGGTTTAAAAAATTAACCTTTTTGTTGATACTTGGAAAGAAGGGGGTTGAATGGTGGGATGGAAAAGGAGAACCAATTAATGGCAGGGGGAAATGCTAGATTTAAGCCTGGGTGGAAGGAATGAAACTGCACTTGAGAGGCAAAGCAGATGAGACAGGAGAAAGTGGAAATTCATAGTTTGTATTTATTGCTTTGGTTTCCCCTTAATTTTATAACTTATATTGAAGCCAATGTTTTTCTAATCAATTGCGTAACCTCCCCTTTCTACTAACACATACATACAGAACTGTTGTGTATGTGAATTAATTGCAAAAGCTTGAGGATAGATTCACAGCAGTGGGTGGGAATTATGAGGCCTATGTGGTTGGGTGGTGGGGGTGGATGGTTGAAGCTGCTGTTCTCACCTCATTAGAGACATGTCTTTGTAGGTGTAAAAAAACCTATGGTTCTCTAATCTGAAAGAATAGAGAGCTTTGATTTCTAGGTAGCTCATAAAAATTCTTTTTTCAGTGTAGCTATCATATCTCTCCTCTCCTCTATTTATGCCTTTTTCTCACAGTGTTCTTTTGCTTTTGATCAATGATGTATTACAAGAGCATCAATTGCCTTAAAGGGAATGGCCAAGAAATGTACAGCTAATCTGTTGCTGTTTTCCAGAATGTTTCATCAACTTCCAGACTAGTCTAAAATTCAATGCCCGGCAATTGCCCATCCAAGTGTTAAGCATATTGCACCTTGTATAGTTTGGATTTTCTTAATTCAGCAAAGGCAATCTATTATTATTATTATTATTATTATTATTATTATTATTATTATTATTATTAGTCATATTTCTATGCCGCCCACTCTCCGAAGACTCTGGGCGGCTTACACCAAAGACAGTATACTAAATAGCATATTGCCCCCTAACAATCTGGGTCCTCATTCTAGGTTACAACCCAACTGCCATGGACAGTTATCACATGGTAGAATTTAAATAAGTATCTACTACATATCAGTTAGTGCAAATTTTGATGAAACTTTTAGTTTTTTTAAAAAAAAATATTTATCTTAAATTGACAAATTTGTGACTTTTGAAGTTTGCTACAGAGCTTAACCCATGAGGTATAAACTTGCCCCAGCCAACTCTTTTTTCTGCCACATCTTCATGCTGTTGCCTTCAACTCATCCACAACTCACACCTGAATGTCCTCCTTAATATTCCACAATTAAAGTAGTTTTTCCTCCTGACCAGGTAGTCAGCCAGGACAACCTCATTGACCATTTGGTCAGGTATCTCTATAAAGTGTAAACTCAACCTAGCACCTATTAGCCATTTTAGGTCGATGTACTAGTTTTGGGGTATTGCCCTCTTGTCCAGATGTTTCCAACTGGTGTCTCACACGCACTTATCAACGAGCTTAGAATCAGAAGTAGCAGCTGACCATGGACCATGTAGAAAAGGTGAAAGGGCTTCAGAATGCACTACCATTTATTGGTACCTTTTCTGTGGCAGGACAGAAATGTCAGTGGGAGTGGCACATTTTAAGCGGATAATATGCCGCCAGCATTAAGACTGGTGGATAGCACTTCAACTGAGACATGCATGCCCTCTGAATGCTCCTCTTTGAATGGACAAAACAGAAGAAAGAAAACGTTTATACACTTCTCTGTCCACCCCTCCACCACTTCCCTTTCCTCCTTATTATATGCCTACTTCTAACTGTAATCCTTGGAAGCGGCTTCTTATTCAAAAACAAAAATTAAAAACAAAAATGAAATGCTTTTCCCTGACTGAAAGGTCCTTGGACAAAAAGTGAAAAGGAAGCAGAAGAAAAATTCAAGGAAACATTAATGGCTGAGAATCTGCTGTTGCCGATTCAATGTTGCATGAATGCATTTTAATAAGGCCCAAGAGGGTGAGTTTGACACCCCATGCTGCAAAGTTGCAAAGTGTGACTTCGATGGCCAAATTCAAAAGCCAAGTTGTCAGAGGAAAGGATAATGTTTTGCTTCTTTATTCTGGCAAATCGAAGCCTAGAATGTGCCAGGAATATGCAACAGATCGAGTCTTTTCTGGCTGGGGCAATGCCGTGTGATTATTTTAGGCATCCATACTGACTTTGCGTCTGGGATTTTCCAGGGCTGTTTTAATCCAGCTTCCTTTGCTAATGCGTGTCATTCCCTTTTTCTCCTCTAGATTTTATCACCCTTTCCAGAAGAGCAGTTTATTCTCCTTGTGTTTTTATTTATTTATTTATATATATCAACTTTTAGAAACTGCCTATCTCTCTCTCTCACACACACACAGAGTGAATAAGTGGTGTTGTTAAAGTAGGGAGAAGGTGCTTGGCTCCATGTGATTGCAATGTCCATTTCTCTGTGTGAACTCTGCTTCTGACAAATGGTTGTACTTTTAATTAATGGATTGACCTTTTGTTGTTGAACCCCAGCAGTTGCTTAGCAACTTAGTATGATCTTTATCGGATGACTTTCTGAACAGGTGCCTTTCATGTATGTAGCCTTTTCTGTTCTGAAAGTGGAATTACAGTAATCCTTTTCTGAAAAATAGAATTACCTTAAAATGCTGGTAATTTTAAAAGGTCATTGGAAAGTGTCCATAATATAGTTATATAGAAGGGAAAACAATTTCTGTAAAGAAATAATTTAATGCTCCATTTTATTTTATGGATATATTTTTTTTTTTTGGCCAGATTCTCTTCATAGTAGATAGTTTCAAATTTCTTTCTTTCTCTTTCTCTCTCTCTAACCAAAAGTATGACAAACTTTCAGACAAACATTAGACTTGCAGTAAGAGTTCCCAGGACTTGGAACAGTAAGAGGACCTATGGGCAAGAATAACTCATGTCTGAAAATATCCATGGTTACACAACACTCTAATTGGCATGTGAGGCTTAAAAACCTCACATAAGAAAAACAATTTTATTTTTTACATAGTAATGTACTGGCTATTGATTGTAGAATCCCAAAGCTTGGGAGCTCCTTCTCTATGGCTTGGTGATTTTATTTGCAATTCCACTCCACCCCAAAGAATATCACTTTCTTGAAGAGGAAATTGATCTCTTTTTAAGATGAGGGGTGTTGTTTTTTTGTATTGGGGAAATCTATCTATGTTTACGGAGATTCTCAGTCATCAAGTCATGATTGTTCCAAAGGAGTTTTTTCAAGAGGCAACTGGACTTTCTCATTTTTCTCTGAAGACATTCCACTTGTCATCCAGAGCTGAAGAAGCTTTTTGGATGAGAAGCGAAACATCTTCAAAGAAAAACCAGAAAGTCCAGTTGCCTCTTGAAAAAACACCTTTGGGACTATCTATGTTTAATTATACTTCTCTAAAGCCACCCTATAGCCCAATAAAGTAGCAGGGCTTTGGCCTACCCAGAGAGCTCACAGAAGGCTATCTCTAATTTTTTTTTTCTCTTGCCAACTTTTCAGTTGCTTTTGTATCATTTGTTAAAAGCAGGAAATAATGATGCAATGCATATGCAAACTGTGCTTTCCTAGCTGATAGTGCTAAGCTGGAGATGGCAGGAAGCAACTGAAGGCTGTTTAAATTGCCTTTGTTCTTGCTTCCGTGGGCCTCTCTCTTTCCTGTGATTTGTAGTTTCTTGACTACTCAGAGATACTTTTGCTGGAGTACTCATTGTTCAGTAATTAGGATATTTCCCTTTCTCTGCCATGAGATGGGGGACAAATAAATTTGATCGATAAATAAAAATTTAAAAAAACAAATCTCTGCAACAAGGTGCAGAATTTTGCCTTTTAAACTCACTGGTTTTTATTTTAAAACTATTGTTGGAAGAAATATCCTTCTGGGTTCTGCTCCAAGTGGGGAAAAAGACACTGGAAACATGGAGACTGCTTGGAAAGATGGTTTAATGATGGACAGGATCACATGGCTTGAGTTCCTGAACAGAAAAGGGGCAGATACAGTAAATCCTCGGGTTTTTATGCTCTCTCTGGCTTTACATTTCCTGGGCCCCCGAAAGAGTATCCTGATTGGTTGTCAGACTCCCAGGGGGTGGGGGTCTTAGCTAGCCTTGCTGGTTGATGGTCACATGTGCTTCCCAGGTCACGTGGTGAGTTTTGGTTGCTAGATGGGGTCCATTGTGTTAGTTTCTGTTGCTATTGTGTTGCAAATGTCCTTTGACAAAGGATTGGGTTTCTGCCTCTGGCCCATTGACAAAGGGTGGGGGGCAGGAAGGTGGGAGCTGCTTTGTCTGTAAAATATGCTTCTCCATTTCTCATCCAGGGAAATATAATATTCTGCCTTTTTTCATATTTCCTAAATATTTCACTCTTACAGGAAAGGGGTGGGTGCTAACTTCCTACACTATAAAATCCATTATTTTGCCTGTTGTGAATATTGAGCACAACCCATTGGGAAAGTATTACATATTTTCTGGTTCTCTCTCCTGGAGTGAGAAGAATCATCCTAGTAAATACTAAACCATGTTGGGAACAGTTGCATTAGATGTAACCTATAATGAGTGTTGGTAATTTGTAGTTACATTCAGATAACTTTCTATGGATTCCACAATTTTTGTCGCCAATCTTTCTTTGCCTTTTATATTTAGGCCTTTTTAAATTAAAGCCTGTGTAATTGTCTTTTTTTTTAAAAAAAAAACCCAACAATTTTAACCATCCTTTTTCTTTTGAAGAAAGGATGAGCTGAAAGCTTTTATGACTTCACCAATTTTCTTGAGTCACCTGGGACTGTTTGTTTTTCAGGCAGTCAACTCTGAGATACTGAGTTTCTTTGCTCCCATTTCCCATCCTCCCACTTTCTTGGTCAAACTTGCACAACCAGATCACGCTGTTCCCCCAAGATGCTTGCAAAGGGATCATAAGCAAGTGATAGATTACATTTTCTTTGTGCAAAAAAACCTGGAGTCTATTTCAGACATCTTTAGCAAGCCACTCAAGATGTTTGAGTCCCTGGAAAATTGCTATCAGAGACACAGGAGAGGAGGGATAATACTACACTGGAGCTTGCCTGATTTCTTGATATAGCAATTTCTTATATAAGATGTCCTTTCCCATAGAGAGCCAGTTTTAAATTGCTGAGAAGTATCTCAGTACACCACCTTACCCAGTAGCCAAACCATCAGTTCAACTTCCTGCCTTTTCTGGAATCAGGGGAAGGCTGATGCTGCTAATTCCATACAAAGAGTGGCTGTTGATTTGGGTGTAGGCAACTTATTTGCCATCTGTTTAGACCAATCCTTCTCCAAACTGGTATTCTCTAGATGTGTTGGAGTCATAATTAGTTGACAATATGAATAGTTTTGAATGTTGTAGACTACACATTATGAGAGTAGCAGCTGGTATACGATTTATTTGAACATTTATTTTCAACCACAGGTTTTAGCAAAATTCAAATAAAATTACAGCAATCCATGTCAATTCAATACATCCCCTCTAATATTAACGACACTGTTTGTCAGGATGTGTCTTCTTATCTTCCTTACAGCCATTACAAAAAATGCAATTTGCTTTGTTACACGTATGTTTTAGTCAGAAAACAAAAAGTAGATTTTTTTCTTCTTCTAAACTGGACTGATTCAGTTGGATTAACAAGGGCACAAGAAGTCTAGCTTTGTGCTCCTGAGAAAGTTTGCAACGTAATGAGTAATAGACCAAATCTTCCACCTGTAAGTCATTACAAAGGCATAAACGGTGTGCAGTTGGCAATAAAATAAAACTGGTATAAGGTGGTTTAGAGCATCGGTGAGCTATTTTAGTAGTCACAGTTTCACTCTCAGGAAATATCATTAATTATTCTTTGTGTGTGTGTGTATGTACCAGAAATTTGCATGCATTTTTTTCCTCAGATTTTTTTTTGGGGGGGAGGGGGGTGCCGGGTAGCTCTGAATCAGTTTATTCATTCTGTTCATTTGAATTCCAGATCAGTCAAGTCTTGGGCAATGAAATCAAGTTTGCAGTGAGGGAACCTTTGGGGCTCAGGTAAGTTCCATTCAGAACCTATGAGCCAGGAATACATAACAGGGATGCTAAGTATTTTACTCATTTTGGTTCATGCTTGCTTTTCCTGCAAATGTATACATGATCAACCTGCAGCCGAAAAAGCCCTATATGGTGAAATTAGTGGCAAGTGCAACCTTGCCTCTAGAGCCGTGATGGCGAAACTATAGCATGTGTGCCACAGGTGGCACACATAGCTATATCAGTGGGCACGCAAGCTCATCTCTGGCACACATGCGCGTGCCAGCCAGCTGATTTTCGGATCTTCTGGGCTCACCAGAAGTAGGGAAACAGGCTGTTTCCTGCCTTCGGAGGGCCTGGGAGGGTGGGGAAGGCCCGTTTTTCTTTCTCACCTGGCTCCAGGGCCTCTCTAAGACTGTGGGGAAGGCGAAAACGGCCTTCCCCACCGCACCTAGAGGTCCTCTGGAGACCAAAAATGGCCCATTTAACAACTTCTGGTGGGACTGGAAGGCCTGTTTTTTGTTATTCCCAGCCTCCAGGGCCTCTCTAGGAGTCTGGGGAGGGTGAAAACGGCCTCCCCCCCCCCCCGGGAGGTCCTCCGGAGACTGAAAATGCCCTGTTTGACAACTTCTGGTTCTGGCCAGGTGAGAAAGAAAAATGGGCCTACGGGCCATCACGTGCCAGGAGTGGGGGGAGGGGGGGTCACGCACGCATGTGCGGGGCGTATAGAATTATGAGTGTGGGTACACATGCGCACAACCCGTGCTCCCCCCCCCCTCCTGGCACGCAATGGCAAAAAGGTTAGCCATCACTGCTCTAGAGGCATGTCCTGGTTCTTTCCAATATAAAGAATATTGTCTGGGCAAATGTATGCAGAAACAGAGTAAGGAGAAGGCTTTATATTTAGAGGTCTTAATTACAGTTAGCCAATGTGGCTGTGGAATATTCTTGTGATTGGCTACTGTATGTTAATCAGAGCTCTCTCTTCAATTTACTGTCAAGGATGAGAGAAATCCATCAAGAGCTAAGCGGCTCTTGAAATTGGATTTAAAGTGCTGCCAGGGGATATTTTAAAGTTAGAAGATAACCTTGAGTTTGAATGGCTCTAAAAAGGAATAGAATTCAAAAGTACAGTGGTTTAAGGCATTAATCTATAAAGCTATCAGCTCTCAAAGCATATCAATTGTTTGACAATCTTGTACTTCATGTCTATAGAAGTGGGTAATCAGCAGTGGCCAGATGATTCTTTAAGAGGACAGTGAAAACATGCAGATCAAGGTGGTATCTCTGTTTCATGTGTGTGTCCTTGTGTTATGCTTACTTGTGCATGTATGCACTAGGAAGCATAGGGCAGGCTGAATGCACTCCTCCCTATGCATATGACCAAGAGGGAAGAGGTGTTAGAATGGAGCAGTCAGCAGTCTTCTGAGCCACTGCCAATTGCTTTTCCCATAAGGATACATTGAGGATTTTTTTTTCTGGATTGTTTAGCTTCACATCATTGACTGGATTCAGCCTGTTTTCAACTCTTTTCTTTTCTTCCATGTTTCTGTGGGGAGGGGGGCTCTCCTGTTTGAATAACTAGCCTGCTGACAGATTGGCAGATGTCCAAAGTCCTCTTACATACCCTAACTTATTTTCAACATTGGACAGAATAATTTTGGAAAATATGTATGATAACTTATTAATACTAAGATATATCTGCAGAAAGTGTGTGCCAGTCCCCAGTTTGGCAGGGTTGTGCATGGGTATGGATGTGTGCCTTTTGTGTGCTTTACTCTTAATTTCTGACTGCTACACGGCCATGTTCCAGTGGATTTTCTGGTAACATTTCAGAAGTAGGTTACCATTGCCTTTCTCCTATGGCTGAGAGGGGATGACTGGTCCAAAGTCACAGAGTTGGCTTTTATGCCAAAGGCAGGACTAAAATCCATGATCTCTTGACTTCTGATTCAATATCTTTATCCACTCTACCAATTGAAAAGTTTAGATGATAGATATAAGCTGGTGATAATAAGGATAAAAATATCCCATAGTTTTTTTGACATTGATATTCACCATAGTTTTATTGATGGGAAGCAATTCAGTAAAGTCTTCCAAAATAAGGAAAAATGTGACTCATTCCACAATGGAGGGACCATTATACCTGCAGCCACTATACTACTTAGATAATTAGGATGATGCATCAGGCAGAGAATAAGGTTGATTTCCCCTCTCCCTAAGTTCATCAGGAACAACTTACAAATAACAAACTTGAGAATGTTTTGGAGTGCTTTCAACCAAGTGTTTACAGTGGTGTGTAAAAATAAAAGCACATCTGGTTGTATGTTTCATTGGATCCCCAAGTGAAAAGAAATTGACACAGCCTCTTCCATGGTACAAAGCTAAACCTATCTTTCTATAGATTCAAGTGCCTTGATGTGCTGTCATGTATAGATTCAGAATAAGAAGCAGTGAATATGGCAGAGGCAGAAGATTGGACACACACAAACATGCACATAGTTTTTTTATATTATTATTGTAAAGTTTTGAACAGGCTTCAAAAGATGATAGACTACAGTTAGCCAAGTGAAGACAGTAACAATATTCTGACTTGTCTAACCTTTTAGGCTCTGTGGCTGTTGTCTCTTTCTACTTCTAACAATCATGGACTCCTCTGAGATATGAAAAATAGTAAAGTAAAAAAAAAAAGCAGGTAGGCTATAGTAAAAAAAAAAAAAAAAAACCTCTATAAGTGCTTCCAGCTGGCAATTTCCATTGTGAGAGACATCGTTAAGAAATGAAAAATATTCTAAATGAATTTTTCGCTGCCAAAGGAAAATACGAAAGAAAAAGAAAAAGAACTGTGTGAAAACCGATCAGAACTGCAAAGTAGAAGTCACAGATCATTGTAAACAATAGGTTGAAAAGTTTAGCTGATTCTTGTATAGATGTGTAGTTGTATAGTTGCCCTTTGAAGTGTTTGGTCACAACCAAACATGATACATTTGGAAGACAAGGCTGAAATATTTGAAGAAAAAACAACTTCTTGCCAACCCTTAAACACTGTATTGAATCTATTGTGCTTTGGAAGTGTGGGACAATCAGCATTACAGGAGTTTCTTATACGGGTGGGGTGGGGGGGGATGGATTCAATTAGCGATCAATACATCCTAAAAACTAAAGTCCTACTCTCAGTGGAGAAACTGAAGCTGATACTTCAGCAAGATGATGATCCAAAAAATTTCCTGAAGTGCTGTCTGCTCTTGGGAAAAACAGCTGCAGCCAGGCAGAAATGCTTTCCACCCCCACTTCACCAAGGCTCAGCACAGCTCATGCTTCTTCCCAAAAGTCAAGGACCACAAAGCTACAGTAAACAGCAAATCCTGGTGGGATTCCTGCCTGGAGGTTGGCTTGGGACCTCAGCCAAGAGCTCAAAAGCAACACTGCTGAAGGTCAAGTCTTAGAATTTGGCCTGGAGCTCAGGAGCAACCAGAAAAAGAGCAACCTCACCAAGGCATCCCATGCGGTGCAAGAAATTTGAGAGAGAGGCAAAAGTTATTTTCAGATTTGTGTTTGTTTTAAGTACTGAATATTTGAAAGTATATGTCTTTATATTTACGTGGCATGAACTTACAAGGCTTAGGAAGATGATGTTAACAGTCCATTGTTGTGTGCCACAATAAAATTGTGTACAGTTATCTGCAAAAAATAACCTTTGTAATATCCACAAAACAGAAAGATTAAGCGAGAAGAGTTCTTCAAGGAAGAGTGGAAAAATATCCCAAAGCAAGGATAGTAACACTTGTAACCAGAGGTGGGCATCACATAATGTAACAACCAGTTTGCCCAGAACCAAAAATGTGAGTGCGCGCATCAAACACACCAGGGGTGAAATCCAAAATTTTTCCCTACCGGTTCTGTGGTTGTGGCTTGGTGGGCATGGCAGGGGAAGGATATTGCAAAATCTCCATTCCCTCCCCTCCTGGGGGAAGGATATTGCAAAATCTCCATTCCTATTCTGGGGCCAGCCAGAAGTGGTATTTGCCGGTTCTCCGAACTACTCAAAAAGTCTGCTACCGGTTCTCCAGCACCTGTTAGAACCTGCTAGATTTCACCCCTGGAACACACGGAGATTATATAGGGCGGGACAGCACCAGGGCGGGTGGGTGGGCCCAACTGCTGGTTGGAACTACCAGTTCATCCACCAGTCCGAACTGGCAGCAACCCACCTCTGCTTGTAACTGACTAAAGAGGAAATGTTTAGAAGCTGTTACATTAAGTACTGGCTGAAAAGTTTTTCAAAGTCTAAATCTTCTATAATCACTGTTCTAAATCTATAAACAGCTACACATAAATAGTAAATATGCATTCAACTAGCCAAAAAGATGCCAAATTTAACTTTGTACCATGTAGATCAGCTTCTCTTCACTTAACGAATACAATTTAAGCAGGAGTGCCTAAATTTTTGCATGCACCTTTGAACAGTTGTTAAACAGGGCAGTCATGAAGGATTGCCTGTGGCATTAAAATCTCTAACACATTGTTTATTGTTGTTCATAGAACGATAGAACTTACAGTTCAACAGACCTGGAGGACTGCTGGGATTTATATAAATATAGCAGGGTTCTGCTAGTCAACGAAGACAAATTCCTTTCAGCAGGTGTTAATTTTTATGATAATAGCCTTATAGGCATCTATTCTTGAAATGGCATAGCCAGCTGAAGACAGTTCATTAACAAACTTAAACATGGCACTCTAAATATTTTTTAAAATTTCCCTTACTAGCTGAAACATCCTATTTTCCAAAGAAAACCTCGTTAGCAATGTTTGGATGATATTAATGATAGGCAATTAGCATTTATGTGTTCTTTCTGGCCTGCCTGGTGATTTCCCCTACCAAGTGTTTTGAAATTGCTTTTAGAAAGCCATATCTTGTTGTCTTCTATACCCTGTTTTATTTCGCATTCTCTTGTCAACAGGAATTGCTCAGATGACCTTTTTGCAGAAGTAGAAGTAACTATTTTTCATTTATTGGTGACTGGAGGAGATGCCATATTTAAAGGATGTGATAATTAACCTTTTTTTCATTTGAACTTCCAGGGTTTGGCAGTTTGTCTCAGCTATCATATTCTCTGGGGTTGCCATCATGGTAAGTAGGGGAAACATTTTCATATGAAGGCCATCTGATCAAATTACTTAAACGTCTGTCCCTAGACATGTTTAGCATTCTGTTCTTGGCAATTTATAAAACTTCAATGATATCTATTAAAATTCTGTCCTCAGATTCAGTCCCTTGGCCATTGTTCTTCAATCTTTCCTCATCATATTGGAGAGATAGCAAGTGGTCCTTGACTCATTAGTTTTCATTACTAATGTGAACTAATAAAATATTAAGTTCAAGTTGTATCAGATTTGCAGGTGTCATAAACTTGAGTTGGATACCTAATACCCTAAAACAGAGGTTTCCAACCTTTCTGGTTTGGTGGACCTGGCAGGGAGGAGAGAGAATAGTTCCATGTGAGGGGCAAGTGCAAGCACTTGCCACTCATACAAGTGAAACTGTGCAAGTGTGCGTGCACTTAGCTGCCACTTGTGCAGCCCAGTCCCAAACAGGCCGTGATCCAGTAATGGGCTGCAGCCCAGGGGTTGGGGACCCCTTCCTTAGAAGAAAAAAGAGCAAAAGAAATTTAAAACAATATTGATTGGATAGAAAAATGGTCTGTAGTAACAGAATGAAACTTACTACAGGCAAGTTCTTCAGTCAGGAATCAAACATTAAATGCATTGGTAAAGGAAGTGAAACACCAAGCTTGGTAATAAGATTTTGTGAAAGCTTTCTAGTAGTAATTGATCCATATTGAATAAGATCCAGTGGTGAGGTAGGACTGCAAAGAAGGCAAATAGAATTTAAGACTGCATCAACAACCTTAATATAGTACACAAGTATGATTTCCAAATCAGAGGAAGTAATCATGCCACTCTATTCTGCTTTGGCCAAATCATACTTAAGCATTCTAGTTCTGGGTACCACTTTTAAGAAGGATTCAGAGAATTGTAACAGATTTATACAATGGCAATGGAAATGATAAAGAGATCAGAAATTAAATCTTGGAAGTGGCTGGTATGGTACGTTTAGGCTTTCATTTCTTCTAAAAGAAGACTCAGGAGGAAGCAGTAGTCAAGAGCACTTTTTAGATACAAGTAGTCCTTGATTTACAACCATTTCTTTAGTGACTGTTCGAAGTTACAAAAACACTGAAAACAGTGACTTACAACCAGTCCTATCACAAACCAGGTTCCTAATGATGATATGATCAAAATTTAGGCCCCTGGTAACCGGCATCTATTTATAATGGTTGCAGCAACCCGGATTCATATGGTCACCATTTGTAACCTTCTCAGCTGGCTTGTCACATTGTGTCAATGAAAAGAAGGACTAGGGGAGACACGATAGCAGTGTTATGAGACCTCAGGGGTTGCCACAAAGAAGGGGGAGTCAAACTATTCTCCAAAGCAGGTAACCAGTGATAAGTTGGGAGCTTGACCTTGTGCCATCCTCACCAGGATATTAAATACGTATCAGAACGTCTGGAGCAATAATGTGTGCTGAAATTCTCTTATTGCTGTAACTGGTACACACACTCTGGCACTGGGTAAACTGCCCTCTGCAGAGTAGAGCGACGGACCAGACAGTGTTGCAACACAGATACTCTCAGACTCTGAACGTTGTTAGAAAAATAAATAGTCTTTACTTGTTGTAAAACAAACAAACTTGGCTTCTCATAAACAAAGATAACACTTTCAATACAAAACAAAGTTTGCTTACAGTTCTAGTTCCGTAACACCGACACAGTATCTTTAGCAGTAATATCACGAGCAGGAGTGAGAAGGAGTGAATGAACTTCCTGCCTTCTTTTTATTTCTGTTTTAACCACTTAATCAATTAGTCAACTTGTAGCAGTTAAAGTAACAGTACATATTATCTACGCAACCGTAGGATAAGGATCCAACAGGGTTTTCTCTCTCTTTTCTTTTTTTTAATATAAATGTTATTAAACGTTTTAATAAAACTAACACAAGCTAATACAGGAGTAAAGAAAATAACAAAGATATGCAGCAAAATATAAGTATAATTACAAAATTATATCTATAATTACAACAAAAACTCACTTTTTTCTATTATCCAATTTTTTTTCTAACCCACAATTCATAATGCATTTTTTGTTTCATTACAGTCCGCATAAAAGTAGATAATTGTTCTTCCTCTAATCAAAGCAGTCGATTTAGCCATCTTTGCAATCTCTATTGTCTTCACCAACTATTTCTCAAACTTTTCACTTTTGAGAGTATAGTAATCTCACTGCAGTTGTCATATAAAAGAACAAAATTCCATGTTTTAGTAGCTTTTCAGCTTCCCTCTCTCTTTTCCTACTATCTGCACCAATTGTTCACGTGCATGGATGAAAACAGTGGTCCAAGTGAACTTCTCTTTGTGAGCATTGACATCTGTCTGACACAGATTTAATTATATCTGATTTCTATTTTCAGGGAAAATCCTTTTCTTTGGACACTAAATATTTCAGTTACAGAAGGATTTTTTTAAAACTGAAATTTGTTTTTCTCTTCCAGGCTCTCACCTTTCCAGATCAAATCTATGATGCTGTCTTCAAGGAAGAGGTAGTCAACAGTAAAATGCCTATCCGTCTCTATGGAGGAGCTTTACTTAGTAAGTAATACGTAAGCATCTAAATGTTGATGTGGTCTAGTCGATTGGGAATAGCTGAGTAAATACTATACAGGTAGTCCTTGACTTGCAGCTGGTTGCTTAGCAACCTTTGGAAGTTTCAAAGCAGAGTCTCACGATCACACGATGCATTTTGCAATAATGGTTTTGCTGAAAACTAACATTTACTTCCATTTTTTTGGCAAAACCATGCCCAGGCAAACCATTAATGATTGTGGTATTCACTTAACAAGCTGACAAAGAGGTTGTAATGTTGAGTCAGTCACATGATGACAACAAGCAGGGTCCATTATGGTCATAAGTCGAGTACTTCCTAGAAGAGTGAGGGTTTATTTCCTGGGATGGAAGGAGAATGAAGCGTGCAGTGTCTTTGCATAGAGATTGTCTGAATTGAAACTAAGCCCCAGGTGATTTGAGATTATAATTTTTGTAATCACTTGCCATTGGACAAGAGGTAAATTAATGGAATGTTTACTGTTGATCTTCATAAAGTTTCTTCAATGGAATTTTGCCCAGAGGAAGGAACGCATACTATGCAATCAAGTTAGGCTTTGAAGTCATTAAACAGGCTCAAGAAAAATGGTATTGTAAATAAGAATCAGGACCTGTAATGTTTTTAATTGTCTTGAGTTCCTAGGGGCAAAATAAATCTCCATCATCACCGTCATTGGAAATAATGATACTGAAATTGCACAGTTATAATTTCCTCACTGAGATACAACGTTTGTTAGTTCAGATGGAAATGTGCTGTTCTGAGACTGTAATACGTCAAATAAACTTCATTATTCAAGACGCTCCAACAGTTTTTAAATTATTTCATTTTAATTTACCTTTAATGTCAAGGTAAAAATATATCTGGGAAACTAGGTATGATAACCTAGCTCACTGGACAAGTGAAATCAGCCATATTTTTTCTTTCTTTCTACACAAACTTTGGAAACAATATCGTAATGCCATTTCTCAGACACACAGAAAATAATGCTGTTTGAATGATGGGGAGGAAAAAAAAACATTTTTGGTTCCCAGGCAGAGTTTATTATTTACTTACATGCCACATTTGAATCAATTAATTTCAGTGGTATTACTTCTCTGTTGATGGATTCAAATTGCTAGCTGTGATGTGGGAATATGAATCTATCATTACAATTTTGTGTTTGTGTATCTGTGTGTATGCTCATCACTCTGACACAAAGCCATGGAACTAAGACCTCATTCACAAGGAGCATCATAAACTTGAACTGTTGAAATGCAAAATTGGGATTTGCTATGTTGAAGCATGAATCAGCTCCGTCCCCCCCCCGGGGAAACTGTAATTAATTAGAGGTGAATGAATCTTGTTTTCCATGGTGTATACTCTCAAAGAAAGAAAACCCGAAGTATATATTCTAAGACTTAACGGTAGCCTGGCCAGGGAACTTATCTGTAGCAAACCGAGATAAGACTGGTCTTGTGATTTCTGAGCTACTGCGCATGTCTACATTCTTTCTTTTCTAACTTCCTGATTTTCCTTTGTCCGGTAAGGATGTAGTTATCTAGTTTTGTTTTTATAATAAAATGTTTCCTAGAATATATACCTCAGGTTTTCTTTCTTTGAGAGTATACACCATGGAAAACAAGATTCAAAATCACAAGACCAGTCTTATCTCAGTTTGCTACAGATAAATTCCCTGGCCAGGCTACCGTAAGTCTTAGAATGGGAGCTCAGCTGGCAAACACTTAACACAGTGACATGCTAGGCATATAGGATGTTAGAATAATTAAATGTCAGATTACAGTAGCACGGAGATAAGTCATCATGATTTTACCACTTCCTAATCAGTCCCAAAGTTATTCTGATGTTTTACACCAGAGCTATCAATGGTAATGAAACCGATCTTGTACTATATCATTCTGGAGCCCAAGATTACATTTATGATAGCACTAAGTGGTCATTTAAAAACTGTAATTTTATAAAATGGTGTAAAAGTGGTTCATTTTGAAATTCTGTGGGGGAAGACTATATTCTTGGCAAGGCCATGAACACTGATTAAAGTCCAGTCATTTCCTTCCTTCTCCATTAAAAAAACCATCCATCCAGGCATATACACATAGGCCGGTGCAAATGTACACATAGACATACACATTTGTAATGTGCTTTTTTAAAAAAACATCCCTTCCACCCACCTAAGAATCCCTCACATGCTTGATTTCTCTCACCCATCCACTCTGCATTCAGTCAGTTAGTATTAGCAATAGCAATAGCACTTAGACTTATATACTGCTTCATAGTGCTTTACAGACGTATCTAAGCGGTTTACAGAATCAGCATATTTCCCCCAACTGGGTCATCATGTTACCGACCTCGGAAGGATGGAAGGCTGAGTCAACCTTGAGCCAGTCAGGATCGAACTCCAGGCTGTGAGCAGTGAATTAGCATGCGATACTGCATTCTCACTACTGCGCCACCACAGCTCCTATTAAAACTGCATGTGAAATAAAACAGATGATTTAAATAGAAATTTAAAATTTGTGGGGGGAAATCCCTCCAAATTATCAGGGTAAATTAAATGATTAAAAAGACCCTGTTAAGGGAGTCTCAAGTCTTGGCCAGCCAATAGTGTCTTTGGGCAGGGGTGGGTTCTACTTACCTTTACTACCGATTCGCAGTGTATGCGCAGATCACCCATGATGGCATCGTGGCAGGTGGGCAGAGCCTCCCACCGGTTTTACTACCGGTTCTATAGAACCGGACAGAACCGGGAGCAACCCACCACAGTATTTGGGATAGGCCCTGCATTTTTGCACAAGCTTTCTTACAAGCTTGTCATTCTGGCAATATAATTAGAGGAGATATACACTGTGTGCAGAACTGTGAGCAACTCCAGAGAAAATGGAACATAAATTGAACAAATAAAGAGACCCAAACTCTACCCTACAGACATGTGCAATAAAGTAGAATAAAATTAAACTAATCTAGTTAGGGAGAAGGATAAGCTATAGCTTGTATGGCCTGGTTTTGTTTTGTTTTTTATGTGAAAGCATTTATCCAAGCTGAACCACAGCTGTTGGCTTGATGTCTAAAATGATCTGCTTCAGGGCTATGAGTCTTTTTTAGCATTTACAATCCAGTGCTATTTTGTGCTCACATTCCTATTGCCTTTCTGGGGGGAAATTACTGTATAAATAAGGTTGGGACTGTATGGGCACAGCTATTAGAAGTCATACATTATGTTTGCATGGTTGCAGGAAGTCAAAATAGATTTGAGTCTGGTTGTCACCAGCAATTCTTTGTGCAGAGTGAGAACTTTTCATGCCTTATTCTTTTTTCGAAGTCTGCAGCAGCATCTGCTGGCCACCAATAAAAATACAGAGTAACTTGGCTATGCTGGGGCACCCTCATTTTTAGCAAATTTTGTGCATTCTCTTTTTCCCCGCTTCAAAAGGGACACTTCAAAAGGGACAGACCTCACTCTGTCAAGGACCTTGGAGTACTCATTTCTAAAGATCTAAGTGCCAGAGCCCACTGTAACAACATTGCCAAAAAATCATTAAGACTTGTTAACCTAATCTTGCGTAGCTTCTTCTCTGGTAATGTTGTACTACTAATTAGAGCATACAAAACATTTGCTAGACCAATTCTTGAATACAGCTCATCTGAATGGAACCCGCACTGCATATCGGACATAAATACAATCGAGAGACTCCAGAGATATTTTACAAGAAGAGTCCTCCATTCCTCCAACCACAATAAAATACCTTATGCCACCAGACTCCAAATTTTGGGCTTAGACAATTTAGAATTATGCTGACTTCAGTCAGTCAGTTCAGTCAGTTCAGACCTAAGCATAGTACATAAAATTATCTGCCACAATGTCCTTCCTGTCAATGACTACTTCAGCTTCAACCACAACAATACACAAGTAAATAATAGATACAAACTCAAGGTAAACCACTCCAAACTCGATTGCAGAAAATACGACTTCAGCAACAGAGTGGTCAGTGCCTGGAATGCACTACCTGACTCTGTAGTTTCATCCCCAAACCCCCAAAATTTTAACCTTAGACTGTCTACTATTGACCTCACCCCATTCCTAAGAGTTCTGTAAGGGGCGTGCATAAGTGCATCAATGTGCCTACCCTCCCTGTCCTAATGTCCCTTTTTACTTACTCTTTTCATGTATTCAAATTATGTTTATACTTTTACCTGTTATCTTATATATGCTTGACAAATAAACTTATGATTATGAGGTTTAGATTATGGGACAACATACCACATACCCATTAAACAGTTTAATGGGAAAAATATTAGCTTTGATTTAGCTTCTTATTCTTGAAATATGTGAACAGGCTGTAGTTGCTGAAAGTAAATTAGTGATCTGTGAACTGTCATCTCTAGAGCTTCTGCAGGGATTTTATTGCTTATATTTATCTTTCCATTGATTGCTGAAGTACACAGCCAATCCAAAGACAAGGGATAAAGATTTTTGCTGTGTCAGACACACAAATCTAGTGATGAATATGGTAGATTATGTTGATTGATTATGTACCCTTTTGTACTGTCAAGTCAGTGTTTATTCATAGCAACAATATATAGAAAGATTTTCTCCATGCCAGTCTGGCCCCAGCCTCATTCTTCAAGTCCACTTGGACTTCTTTTTCCTTACATCTTTCTCAGCCTCAGAGCCTTCTCAAGAGACACTTCTGGAGATTGCAGAAGAAATAAGAACCAGTACAACTGCAATAGAAATAAGAACCAGTAAAGGTATTGGCTCCTGATACCTCTTCTTCGGATTAAGAAGAGGACAAGAATCACCCACAAGTTTGTTCCAAACAGAAATTTCTCTGGGAAGAAATTGTGAAACAATTTCACAATTTCACAATCCAGCAGGTTTGAGAGTTCTTATAGCTGTTATAGCTCTTATAAGCTCTTATAAACTATAAGCTCTTATAGCTTATAGCTGTTGAGGCCAGTGAATCATCTTACCGAAGCAGTGATTTGGCATCTTCAAATTGGATGCTAGCAGTGGTGGGATTCAGCCAGTTCGCACCACTTCAGGAGAACCAGTTGTTAACTTTCTGAGCAGTTTGGCAAACTGGTTGTTGAAAGAAATCATTAGGGCAGTTACCCTAATTAAATTACTCTAATTTAATAACTGGTTGTTAAATTACTTGAATCCCACCACTGGACACTAGGTTTGCCTATCTTCTCTCTTAATTATTTTACAAGCTTCTTTATTCTTGAATTTCTATATATTAAGAATCTTCTGAAGGGAAAATTTGCTGGGAGAATCCCGTCTCACCCTGGATGAAAGAAATTAAATGTAAGTGTAAGGATTAAAGGTTTTTTTTAAAAAAAAAAACTTATTTTTTTGAAAAAATGACAAAAGGGGTTGACTTTAGTTAAGGGACTAGATGGACTTGAAAGAATATTTCCTATGGGGTGTTTAACAAATAGTCATTAAGTGGGGGTCTAGCACTAGCATTTAGACTTATATACCACTTCATGGTGCTTTACAGCCCTCTCTAAGCAGTTTACAGAGTCAGCATATTGCCCCCAACAATCTGGGTCCTCATTTTGCCTACCTTGGAAGGATGGAAGGCTGAGTCAACCTTGAGTCAGTGAGATTCAAACTGATGAACTGCTGGCAGCCGGAAGTCAGCAGAAGTAGCCTGCAGTACTGCACTCTAACCACTGTACCACCACGACTACCTGTATAGAAGAAATTAAAACTATTTGGGAGCAATTTATTTAGAAGATACAGAAGAACCAAAGATTTTATTGGATAAAACAGAGATTGTGGCTGACTTGAATATGGATTTGGAGTTTAAAGAAAATGCTGGATTGCAAAAGTGATATGGACAAAGATGCTATGGATCTCAAAGTGCATTTTAAAAATACAAGAATATGAGTCATATGGAAAAAGATACCACAATGGATTTACAAATAAAAGCAGTTGATGTCTTCATAATTAAAGGGGATATACAAATAATAAATCAGATGAGCGATTTGGAACTTGATTTTGGAATCTATAGACACAAGGAAACTTTCTAAGAATAGATGAAAATACAATGATAAAAAATCAGTTTGTGGGGCATCATTTCCCAGGATTAAAGATCAAGAAACGTAAACAGAAGGAATTCAGAGTGGACTTATTTGACCAGGATTAATATAAGCGATAGCTATTAATAGAATTTCCTTTTATCCAGGACTGAACAACGAGGCTTTAAAGATCTGTTTGTAAAATGAGGAAAGGTTCATTTTGCTTTATTTCTTACAGAAAGTAATAAGTTGGAATAAAAAATGATTTATGGATTTAGTAGTTTAAGGTTAAAATATAATGTTACTATTTCTGGTATTTCTTAATGGATTTTTACTGATTAGAACCTAATGATGACTTTTTATAAATTAATTATTGATAAGGAATGGTATCTAAATATTAGAGATGTTAAGTTGTGAAATTATTTATACTTATCTGAAGGGAGTCATCCTTTATAGATCTTTTTTTTTATTTTCTCTTTCTTTCACCTTGTATTTTTTATTTTACTTTTTATATTTTTCTTACTTTATATTAGTCTTTTACCTTTATATTTAACATACTACAGTCTTACAATCTAAATGAAGAATGGCGATTAAGATGGGCGACTTTTTATAACCATAACCAAATAGATCACACAGATCCAACAAAACCATTTCTAGGAATGCAGTTGCCTCCCAAAATATAGAGCCACAGGACAGGCCATGCCAGAACTCAGGCAAAGCTTTTTCAGTGGGGAATGACTAAGAGCTTGCAGTACAACTGTGGTACACCTGAAAAAACTATAACACATATAGTTCAAGAATGTTCCCTCAGGAAATTTCAAGGCACCTGAATTGATCTCATCACAGCCACACCAGAAGCAGTTAGATGGTTAGCTTCCTTAGATATTGAATTATAACCTTTAGCCCATTGCAATTCTATGGCTCCATATTATGGTGATTTTATTGTGGCTTGATCTTAATATATTATTTCCTCCAGTGTATTGCACTGTATCTGTGTGTGTATATATGTGGTGCAAAGAGCCATGGAAAGATGCTCGGCATTACAAGACAAGATAGAAAGATCCGCACATGGATTAGAGAACAAACGAAAATATATCATCAAGAGAATAAAAGAACTGAAATGGAAATGGGGCTGATCACAGAGCAAGAACTGATGGCAGGTGGACCAAGGCAGTCATAGAGTAGATCAAGGTAAAAAGCATCCATAAAAGAGATCTAAAACAAGATAGATCGATGACATCAGCAGTAATTGCGGGCCCAATTGGCAAAAGAAAGCTCAAGACTGTATTGATTGGAAACATGCGGAAGAGGCCTTCATCCTGCAGTGGATGGACAATAATAGATCAGTGATTGCATGACCTCTGTAGATGCCATATACTAAATAAATAAAACCAGGGGTGAAATCCAGCAGATTCTGACAGGTTCTGGAGAACCGGTAGCGGAAATTTTGAGTAGTTCGGAGAACTGGCCCCAGAGTGGGATGGGAATGGAGATTTTGCAATATCCTTCTCCCAGGAGTGGGGAGGAAATGGGAATTTTGCAGTATTCTTCCCCTGCCGCGCCCACAAGCCACACCCACCAAGCCACACCATGCCCACCAAGTCACACCCACAGAATTGGTAGTAAAAAAAATTGGATTTCACCACTGAATAAAACCTTTGTATTTGTAAATCGTAATAAATGATGAGAGAGGGAGAGGGAGAGGGAGAGTGGGGGGGAGAGCTTTCTCTAGAGACCTATATCGTCACGTAATGTGTCCAAAGAGAAATGTGCTACTAGGAGATAAACATCTATCAATAATGCAGGGCAGGGTGAAAGGGAGGAGTTGAAATTTTGGTAGATTTTGGAGAAGGGAAAGATATTGTAAAATTGTATATATGAAAGTGGATAAAAATACTCTGAACTTTTTAGTTTTATTGATTCTGAAACTTGCTTCTTAGAAAAATATTTTCAGGACTGACTTTAAAAAAAGAAATCACAGCACAGATAACTATTAAAGCAAGGTTCATTCATGCACACAGATAAAAAAAGGAAATGGATAAAACAAAAATGGAAAAAATATACAAATAGGAAATACAGACAAAGAACAAAATGTACAAAATGAAATATGGGCAGATAGCCAACAGTTCTAAACTAGTGTTGGAAGAAACATCCTTCTGGGTTCTGCTCCAAGTGGGGAAGCAGACACTGGAAACATGGAGACTGCTTGGAAAGATGGTTTAATGGTGGACAGGATCACATGGCTTGAGTTCCTGAACAGAAAAAGGGCAGATACAGCGAGTTTTTTGAGTTTTATGCTCTCTCTGGCTTTGAACTTCCTGGGGCCCAGAAAGAGTACCCTGATTGGTTGTCAGACTCCCAGGGGGTGGGGGTCTTAGCTAGCCTTGCTGGCTGATGGTCACATGTGCTTCCCAGGTCACATGTGAGTTTCTGCTGCTATTGTGTAGAGGGGCTAATCCTATCTTTGTTGGATCTTTGGCAATTCCTACTATGGCTCTGCCTGAAGGAGGCAGATCTTTGTTATGTAGAATAGACTGGCCCAGGCCTTAATGGCCCATTGACAAAGGGTGGGGGGCAGGAAGGTGGGAGCTGCTTTATCTGTAAAATATGCTTCTCCATTTCTCATCCAGGAAATATAATATTCTGCCTTTTTCATATTTCCTAAAATATTTCACTCTTCCAGGAAAGGGGTGAGCGCTAACTTCCTACACTAGCATATAATTAAAATATTCTGATAAATCATAAATGCTTATGTTTAAATGCTTATATTATATATAAATGCTTATATTATGTTACAAGTCCATTTTCAAATAAAGCATGCCCCTGTTCAACCATGGACAAAAATTACTTGGTTAGCACATTAAAAGTGGGGGAGAGGAGAAACTGAAGAGATAAACAATTTGTTAAGGCAGTACTGTAGATTTTGTGTCAAGTTAACATTGAACATTTGGGTTTTGGCTGTGGCAAGATCCAAAATTTGCAAACTGAAAGGGCGGAGACCTTAAATCACGGTACCTGTGAATCTGCAATAGCTGATCATGTGGAACTTGTCCTTTCATAAAGCTTTGGTTTATGAGCAACATGAATGGCAGCATTTGCCTGTGCATATCCTGCAGCTCTCCTTATCCTGTCCTAAATCAGCTAATCTGATCTTCTCTTTTTTCCCCTTTCAATCTGTGATAGGCATCTCGCTCATCATGTGGAATGCCCTCTACACATCTGAGAAGGTCATAATCCGTTGGACCCTACTGACCGAAGCTTGCTACTTTGGAGTACAGTTCCTGGGTAAGCATTGCCAAAAAGGCATTAAGAGTTGTTAACTTAATTTTGCAAAGCTTCTTCTCCGGTAACACTGTAATGTTAACTAGGGCATACAAAACCTTTGCCTCGAATATAGCTCATTTGCCTGGAATCCACACTGTATATCGGACATTAAGACAATTGAACGGGTCCAAAGGTATTTTATGAGAAGTGTACTCCTCTCCTCTGCTCACAATAGAATACCTTATGCCACCAGGCTTGAAATTTTGGGCTTGGACAACCTTGAACTATGCCGCCTACGGTCTGACCTAAGCATAGTACAAAAAATTGTCTGCTACAACATCCTACCTGTCAGCAATTACTTCAGTTTCAATCACAATAATACACGGGCAAACAATAGATACAAACTCAAGGTAAACCACTCCAAACTTGACTGCAGAAGATACGACTTCAGCAATAGAGTGGTCAATGCCTGGAATGCTCTACCTGACTCCGTTGTAACCCCTATAGCTTTAACCTTAAACTGTCTACTGTGGACTTCACGCCATTCCTAAGAGGTCTGTAAGGGGACGTGCATAAGCGCACCACTGTGTCTACCGTCCCTGTCCTACTATTCCCATTTATTTGTACTCATTTCATGTGCTCATGTCCATGTTTATACTTATACCTGTTATCTCATACATGTTTGATAAAATAAATAAAATAAAAAAATAAATAAGTAGGGGTCTTTTGGGAAACAGGAATGAAATCTCTATTCTCTTCCCTCCCTCTCTCTCCCCTCTCTTTCTGTGTAAAGAAGCAGTCCCATTATGATCTACATATTTCCTAACTATTTTGAGAGACCAGAGCAAGGAATTTGAACCAACAGTGATATTGGAACTCATATTTGCTCACAAAGAAGTGCTGAAAAGAAAACGATACAACCTAGTTGTTTCTTCCCAATTCACCAAAGCTTCTAAGCTCTGAAAACAAAGCAGTTCACAAGCTTGATTAATTTCATTTAAAAAACTAAGCCTTCCCTCTATTTTTCAAACATTTTTTTTTTCTTTCAGGGCAGGCAGGGAGTTGCAGTAGAAAAGACCTCCAAGATCCCTTCCAACTCTGTCATTCTGTATTCTTTCATCAACTGATAAATGTGGCTTTTCTCCTTTTGTAACCAGTTGTCCCAGGATAAAAAATTTTAATGGCAGAAATCCTGTCTACCTTGCACTTTCTGAGAGATTTGGAAATTGCTTTCTTATCATAAATCAGTGGGAAAACTAATATTTCATGTTAAAACAAAAAAGCTGTTAAAACAGGGAAATTTAAAAAGCTGGAATCCCAAGCAAAATATGTGATCTGCTTTGGTTTGAATGTTCAGATCTAAGGGGAAATTTATACAGTAAAAGTCAGCTTCATTTGCTGTTCTGGTTATTACTACTAAACTGTCAATGAATTCTATATCTATGAATCCAGGGTTTTCCATCATTCTTCTTGGCCTTAAAATGTTCTGGCTCCCAATTTATAGCCTAATCTGAAGCAAAGTTTATGTAACAGAGTTAAAAGTGATCTGAGTTATAGGGATCCTTCTTTCAAGAAATAAATATGTGCAAAAACACATTTGTAGACCAGCCTTCTTCATGTTTTAGCTACAACTTCCTTTTCATCATTGTAAAATAGGTCTACCTAACCTTGGATGACTTTTGTTCAAAACCAAAAGTAACGTGGCCATCCTGCTAAATAAGAATGCAGTAAATTAGTTTTTTTTTTTTTTTAATCTCAAGATGAGTTCTAGAAGACCATTAATGTGTTGGTAGTTTGCTTGGTGTAAGTGTGGGTATTTTAGCCTTCAGCTGTCTCCTTTCTCTTTCAGTGACTTCAATCACCTTGGTTGAGAGCGGCCAAGTGTCTATGGGAGCCACATTTCTTCTCATCAGCCGAGCCCTCTTTGTACTTATCAGCGTTTATTACTACTATCAAGTTGGACGCAGACCCAAGAAAGTCTAATGGCCAGAACTTTAAGGGGGTGGAAGACCTTGGTTGATTTGGAAGGGCTGGAGGGCTTTTCTATTTTTTTCTTTTTCTTTTCCACATTCCTTTTTGTTCACATTAGTGCATTGTCTTTAAAAGCAGTCATTATAGCATGCATCAATGTGTCAGTCCAGTGCTGGTCTCCCTGCCACAGCAGACAAGAAAAAAAGAAAGATCAAAGCTGAGCTCCTTCCTGCCTAATGTCTCTTTGGAAAGGACAGATAATGAGGCTTGCTCAAAATGTGGGGGAGAGTGATTCCCAATTGTTAGTCAAATTACTCTGTAAAACTAGATGATGGGCCCAGGATATCCCATTTTACTATCCTCCAGACCGACTGGACTGAACATCTGTCACAGGATGGGGATGATAGGAGTTGAAGTTGAACTATCATAGACTTGGAAAGGGATTTGGAGCAGCTTTCCAAGGTTTACATAGATAGATCCAGCAATTACATTGAAATTGCAGTGGACGTCTTAAGTATATTCTTCCTTTTCGTTTGTCACTTGTGATTGGGTTTCTTGTCAAGTCTGTCTACTAAAATCTTACAGCCAAGGCTGAAACAATGTCTTGCTTTATGGGGGAATCCCAAAGGCACATTATACAGAATTCTTAGAAAGTTGAATATTGATCTTTTAATGTGCCTCTTAGAAAATGATATCATGACCATACATCTGAAACCTGGACATAAACTATATTAATTTAAAAAGAGATTCAAACTCTTTTGAAGAAAGCCTCAATCTGCTACTGCTTCTAAATATGCCTTTTTGTTTTTGGTCATCATTTCTCCCTTTCTTCTCTGCTGTTGGCCACTTAGTACTGTTCTAGTTAGCGGTGTTTGGTTTTTAAAGTACTAGTTGTTAACTAAAATACTCTCAGATAATTCTAGGAAGAGGAACATTAGAAGAGGAAACTGAAATAATGATTTAACAGGCTTTTTTCAAGACAAAAATGAAAACACAGGGAAATATTTACCAATTTTTACAAATTATTGTCAAGTGTTAGTGCAAATTAAAAAAGCACAAGAGCTTGGTTATAAACAAGTACCTAAAATGGCATAGTAAATACTGAACATGTCTAGGTTAGTTTGTATTGTATATGCTGGAATGATTTGTGAATGTAGAAATGTCTGATTTTGGTGGTCTTTTCATCCTTCTTGAAATGGAAAGATCAGTCAAATTGGTATTTATGTGCACGTGTAGGTCTAGGAGCACCGAGGGGGAAATTACAAATGATTTAGTCATTTCTCATGTTTGGCAGTTAGCTCCAAAACTGGATTGCACCCTATTACATGAACTAAATCAGTGTACTGTGAACTGTGACTCTGCAAGATGCCCCAAAGAGGTTTAGATATGGATTGTCCTCTCTTGTAGTTGCAAGAGGCTGCTAACCTAGAACAAAGTAATTTATTTGAGCCCAGTTAAGATTCTCTATATTGTCTATGTAATGTTTGCCAATTACAAATGGCAGTCTTAGGATGTCCTTTTATCCATTCTGTTATTTAACCAAAAGGGATAAATATAAGCTGATTTCTTCAGACTCAAAAGCAAAGTTCTTAATGATATGAAAAAAGGCAACCATAAACTAAAGTAAGAGAAATATTGCTTCAGGTATACTCATGGGTCTACCCAAACTGCAATTCATTGTGTTCAGTTGGGCAAATAAAGCAAATTTGCTTTTTTTTTTCTTTCCTGCCCTGTTGCTCCCATCAAAATATTGGGAAAATCTGCAGATAGTTTTAAATAAAATCAGGAACTGGTTGCTCTTTCCATACAAACCACAACGTTATCTATCACTTCAGGATAAAATCTAGCAGTTTACCTTTTACTTTTCAATCTGTTCAATGGTGAGTCTCATGCTTTCCCCCACTTTTCCTTAATTTTCCTTATAGTGGTTTTTGTGTTTTGCCTTATATTGAATTTACATCAAGCAACTGTCTTCTTGAAACGGATTGCAAAAATTTTACTAGCATATATCTGTTAAGATGGACCAAACTTTTTGGACTGAGCACAATGACTCTAGAAAAAGGGCATATGATTTATATTGTGGAAAGACCTGACTGTATCCATAAAACTGGATAACACTGAAGACTGAAGTAGCATCTTTTCATTTTCAACAAGTAATGGTATTTAGAAAATCTAAAGACTTATTCATGGATGGCCAATTTTATGTGCTGATTTTGCCTACTGTGGTCTTTTTTTTTTCCTGCTCAACTATTTCCAACACTGCCGCCTTGATCAACTTCTGGCATTAACTACATATGCGCATGAGCATGGACTACCATGTATGCTGCAGCTGAAGACCATACAAAAACCATGAATCAAATAGAAATTCTTGAAATGTTTGACTTTATGATAAATGTGGTGATTCAAGTGGTGAATTTAGAATCAAGAGAGAATGCCTGGAGAGATTAAATTCCTCTATAGGAATGAATTTGTTAATGCTACTTTCAGTTGTTTAAGTTCTTGCTCTGTAGAAAAGATGATTTGTACACTTAATGAAATAAGTATGATTCCAAGCAGTTACCATCTGGTATTGAGCATTTTGTTCCCAGGTAGAAAACTGAATTAGAGGAAGGAACACTTTTCAACTGTGCTTTAATCCGGGCTCCAAATCTTTAAACTGAATTTTGGTTCAAGGAAAGGAATTATATGCTCTTATGAATCAAGATGTTGCCCTGTTATATTTCTATAGCAAATATGACTCATTAGCATATTAAAATTCATAATTATCTCTTTACCAAGGCTCACTTTGAGGCATTTCAAAATAGTAAAAAAATACATAAAAAAAACAACTCTGCCATATAAGTATCCATGTTTTATTATCACACCGGTAGATTTTCACCAATATTTGTGAAACCAAGAGAGATGCATATAAATTGGGCACAATGGATTGAACAACTGCAGCATATTTGTAGAACAATATCCTTTTCATGTATATTACTATTATTTATTATATTTATATGCCACTCATCTCACTGTCAGGTGATTCTGGGTGGCTTACAACATCACATATAGTTTCTCAGGGCTGGAATAGTTAAGTCAGTGCCATCCTAGATCAGTGGTCCCCAACTTTTATGGCTTGGCAGCCTGGCTGGGGGCCAAAAGGGGAACCAGGCCATGCAATCAGGGGACCAACATGCATGTGTGCTGGGACACTGCTCACATGAGTGTAGCAGCAGTTTGCGCACAAGTGCTCATCAGCCCTCCTCTCGCATGTCCCGATTTCAAATAGGCCACGGCCCAGTATGGATCATGGCCCATGGCTGGGACCCCTGTCCTAGATAGTAAAGTCCATATATAGTAAGGGTAGGTTTTCATCCTGGATCACAGTAACAGGGGCTTCAACATAGGCTGAGTTTTTTTCCTAAAGATCAAACACTTGCCTGCTGTTCTGAAATCAAATATGCTCAGGGATTCCATGAAAATGTTATTAAAAGCTATAAACTGTTCCACTGAAAAATGCGGACCACCAGCACTTCACATACGGCAGGAAAGCTGCAGTTCAACATAGATTACTGAATAAAAGTACTCATCGGCTTCCCAAGTGTGTGAAAATCAAATACACTTATTAAACGGAAGCTAATAAATAATCTCAAACACCCAGACTTTATTAGCCTTTCAATTATTTTGCATAAGTAATCATTAGGCAATAGACCAGCAACCTCGTTTTTTATTTACAAAATTCCATATGCCTGCTAACTCCAACAAAATCTGGTATTGGTAAAATACATTATGAACAATTGAAAAATCTTTTACAGGCAGCTTGTCATAAAGCCGCAGTCCTTCTAATATCATCTACAGTCTTTAAAGACTGCCTGGGGTACTTTAACATTTTAAAAAAGTGGAACATGGCACCAAGAGTAATATTTTGTAAAGAAGTGGTGAAAACTTTGTTAGGGGTTAAAAGTTATTTGAAGATCACGTTCAGTTATAAGTTTATCTGTTGCTGAACTAATTTGCCTTTGGTCTTCAATATGATAAAATCTAATTGACAATAGTAATTTTTAGCCATAATGCTGAACAGCCAGAAATGGTTGTGAAGGAGGAACAACCTTCTAGCAGGATTTTGGAGACGTTTTGTCCCCTCTGCCCAAAAGGAACGCATCTTACAGTTTTTCATATAGAGAAGCAGAACTGAAGCAAAACAGCAAGTAGAAAGGATGTTGTTGCTGCAACACTAAGACACAGATAGGATTAGGTGTATACTCGGGATTTGTGGCTAAAGGATGGATAGCTGCTAAGCTTCCTTCCATCATTCCTTTTCCCCACCTTTCATCTTGTGATGTGTTTCAGCAGTTTTGGTTGGTTGTTCATTTACTATATTTGTAGGACAACCATTCCCAGAGGTTGTCCCAAAGGTGCTTTTTCAACCATTCCCAGAAGTTATAGGCAGCTAAACATGAACAACGCAAAAAGAACAAGCAAAATCAAAATCCTTAAAAAATATGTGCCACCTGCACAACAAAAAACTGCCCCCTCTTGTGCCAATTGGAAGAGGAAGATTTTTTGCAAGTTTCCTAAGGAACTTTGAAGTGCAACCAGAAGAACATTCTAAAGAATAGGGACAGCGATAGAAATTTATTTATTTTTATTTATTTATTTTAGAAAATTTATATTGCTGTCTATTCACACATGGTAACTTAAGGTGGTTTACATGAATATAAAAATACCATATATAAAAAATAAAACGAACAGAAGAAAATAATAAAATAATTAATAAAATAGCCCCCATCCCCCGCACCTCCTCTCCCCAGTGACAACACATCACACAAGCCATTTAATGGTCTCCATCCCTCTCTGGGTTCTCTCAATTTGCTCCCTCAAGTCCCATCAGATGGCAAATCCCTTAGCTTGAACACTTTCACCCTACAAGTTTTTGCCGTTACTGTTTGCTGTTACAATTTTTGTGCTGTTTCTAAAATATTTGAAAAGGGGAATCCACAATGCAATGCTATATGCCCCAGCACTTATGGACTTATGGAACATCAGGAAGAGTACTAAAAGGTCCTTCATCTTTTTGGAATCATGGATGTATCAAGGTTGTAGAAGAACTAGAGGTGATTACTTGGAAGGATGCTATTGGGCATCCTTCACACAAAACAACACAGACTAAGTAACTGGGGTTTTTTTTTTAAAAAAAAATTGATTTATATGCCGCCCTTCTCCGGAGACTCAGGGCGGTTTACAATGCGTTAAGCAATAGCCTTCATACTTTTGTATATTTTATACAAAGTCAGCTTATTGCCCCCACAAACTGGGTCTTCAATTTACCTACCTTAGAAAGGACGGAAGGCTGAGTCAACCTTGAGCCTGGTGAGATTCGAACTTACAGTAAGTGCAGACAGCTGGTGTTAATCACAATGCTATCAGTCTGCTGAGTCACCAGGCCCTGGTGGGAGGAGGATTGTTGTCTCATATTGATTTGAACAATATGAGCCAAGTAGGTTGGCTTCATACAACATGCTAAACTCTAGGGGGAAAATATCAAACTTAGCATATCATCTGACTGTATCTCCTGGGTCTTCATCTGATATAGCAGTGTTTCTCAATCTTAGCAACTATAAAATGTGTGATTTCAACTCCCAGAATTTCCCAGCCAACCTGCTGGAGAGTTATAGCCCATATATATTAGCAGTCAGTGACCCCCCCCCCCAAAAAATCTTTTGGGCACCAGGGCCCGGTTCCATAGAGAAAGGTTTTTCCATGGACCAGAGGGGGCATGGTTTTGCATGCTGCCTGCATCTCGCAGATGGGGCTTCACTTGTTTGCACAGTCTGGTTGCTGGCATGCCACGGACCAGGTCCAGTCAACGGACCAGGGGTTGGGGATCCCTGTTATAAGTTACCAAGGTTGAGAAACAGTGCTATAATTAAATGTAGTCTCCAAATCCATGTTGGCTGGAAAATTCTGGGAGTTGAAGTCCACACTTCTTAAAGTTCCCAAGCTTGAGGAACGTGTCCAATTTGAGTAACAAAGCAACTCCATCTAAGTACAATTTACCAATTACCTATCAACTAAAATATAAAGATTATCTTAACAATCTAAATAAGAAAGAAGGGTCCTTTCCAATTACAAAATCTTAATTTTATTGAACTTTGGTAAATATGGAGAAGAGGGGGAAAAAGATATACTTTGTATAAAGTATTACCTTTGTAGAAAATATTATGTTTTCTATCTGCTTAGTATCTCAGTTTATATCCAATGCTTTACATTGCAACAATTCATTGAAATTGGTGATACTTAGACCAGATTTTAAATATGGTTTAAATTTTAACTATTAAAACAATTTAACTGGCTACTATCAATATTTCCAGGCTAAGCACCACCTAGGGTTTGCTGTGATTCATGTTGATTGCAACTGGGCTTTATAGCTTCAGCTCAAAATGTTCGAAGAGGCAGTCGCAGCAATGAATGTTTTATCACAAATAAATTTTGTGCCTGTTTTTTGTCTATTCAAATCAACAGATTTGAATAGGAATAAATCAATAACTAAAGAAAATAAATAAATAAATAAATAAGCAATCTTTCAATCAGTAATAAATCAATCAGCCATTTCCCAGGTTAAATAAATATTACTAAAAGAATAACAAAGATGATTAGGACATTGAAGGTTAAAACATATGAAGAACATTACAGGAATTGGTTATGTCAAGTTTAATAAAAAGAAGGACTGGGGTGACATAACAGCAGTGTTCCAATATTTAAGGGGCTGCCACAAAGAATGGGGGGGGTCAACCTATTTTCCAAAGCACCTGAAGGCAGGACAAAAACAATCAAAGGGAACTGATCAAAGAGAGAACCAACCTAGATCTAAGGAGAAATTTCCTGACAGTAAGAGCAATTAATCAGTGGAATGACTTGCCTCCAGAAGCTGTGTGTGCTCCAACACTGGATTCTTTTAGGAAGAGATTGGACAACCATTTGTCTGAAATGATAGCATGGGTTCCCTGCTTGAGCAGGGGGTTGGACTAGAAGACCTCCAAGGTCTTTTCCAACTCTGTTAAAAATAGTGGAGAGCATTGTCCTTCCTTAAGCTGATGAACCACTGAAGCCACACAATGCTTTCAGGAGCTGCTTATTACAGGATATTAAACTACAGTACTTCAGCAGTTCCTACAAGCATTACATGGCTTCATTGATCCCCAGAATTCCTCCAAAAGTTGGTACTCTTGTAGAATTTTAAAGAGAGAAAGGAAAAATTACCAATTGCACAGAGGAGTAACTACATTTCACCTATTTCACATGTACCATTATATTTAAATAATTGTGTCTTTGTCATGGACACTATGTTACAGTCCTGCCCACTTTTAGCAGTGTTATCTTTTACCTACCATTCAAAGGCAAAATGCAGTCATGGAGACAAAATAATCCATTGTGTACTGGAGTCCTAAACAAGACTGTAATGTTTGAACTTCTCAGTCTGGAGTGCAACAATGCAGACATCTTTCTCTGTGCATTCCAGTTTCGTGGTTGTGTAATAATATTTGCCTATTCATCTAAGGGCTTTATTAGATTTTTTTTAAAAAAATAAATGCTCAAATTACTTGTTTTTGACTCTCATTGGTCAATTATTATGAATTATTTCATTTTATGAAATAATTATTGAAAAAGTGTCAATTTAAGAGAATGAGTTGTGTTTTACAAATTCACTGCGATTTCTGTCTTGTACTTTGGTGTATAGGCAAATTTTCTTTGAAGTACCATTTCTTTGTCTTCTGAAATAATGGGTGCATCTTACTTGCCACATATACGGTGGCAGCTATTTTTTCCATGGGAAAACTTTGAGAACCATTTGATGAGAGGCTCTAGGTATTCTTCCAGTATACCAAATGTGGCCACTAACTATCAGAAGTTGTGATCTCAGCATGGTAGTAAATATTAGTGACATGAGAGGGCCAGAAAAGGAATGAAGAAGCCACAGGGAAAGTAGATGATTTTTGGCAGATGAAGCACAAGTATATAAAAAAGCAAGACTGAATTACAAACATAATGATTGAAAAGAGAATGTAAGGAAAGAGAATGTAAAAACTGCTTGAAACACTGAAAATAATCTGTGACTCAGAAGATAAACTAATGGAAAGTATAGAAAGGGAATGAATGTTGCCAAAAAATAAGGATGAGAAAAAAAACAACACTGCATGACGTGCATGCCCAAAAAATATATTGCAGAAATTGCAGAAACATTTGGATAGAAATAAAACATTGTTTTGGAAGTGGGTGAGAAAAGCTAACCAAGGAACCTTCAGTAACATGGATAGAATTAAAAACAAGTGGTAGAATTGGGTTTGGGAGTGAAATAGGAATGAGGGAATACTGAAAAAGGATTTCAGGGATTTGCATGGGAATATGCTATTTAACAGATTAACAGAGTTGGTAGGGATCTTATAAGTCATCTGTTCCAACCCCCCCCTCCCCGCTCAAGCAGGAGACCCTACACCAGGGGTCTGCAACCTTAAACACTCAAAGAACCATTTGGACCCGTTTCCCACAGAAAAGAAAACACTGGGAGCCACAAAACCTTTCCCGTGCCTATTTCTTGAGCGGCCACAAAACTAGCATATGTAGTTGAACGAAACATTCTGTTTCTTCTGAAACTTTTCTTTTCTTATATTTATCCATGGTTGGCCTACTGGAGGTTGATAAGCTCTATAAATTGCATGCTGGCTGGTGTCACACATCGGTGATTGTGACACATATTCTGAGTGACAAGGAGCCGCAGCAGAGGGGTGAAAGAGCCACATGTGGCTCCAGAGCCGCAGGTTGCTGACCCCTGCCTTACACTATTTCTGACAAATGGCAGTCCAATCTTTTCTTGAAAGTCTCAAGTGATGAAGCTCCCACAACTTCCAAGGGCAAGCTGTTCCATTGGTTGATTGTTCTATCAGAAAGTTCCTCCTCATTTCTAGGTTGAATCTCTCCTTGGTCAATTTCCATCCATTATGCCTTCTCTGGCCTTCAGGTGCTTTGGAAAACAGCTTGACCCCCTCCTCTCTGTGGCAGCCCCTCAAAGATTGGAAGACAGTTATCATGTGTCCCCTGGTCCTTCTCTTCACTAGACTAGCCATACCCAGTTCTTGCAACTGTTCTTCATAAGTTTTAGCCTCCAGTCCCCTAATCATCCTGGTTGCTCTCCTCTGCACTTTTTCTAGAGTCTCAACATCTTTTTATAATGTGGTGACCAAAACTGGATGCAGTGGTCTTACTAGGGCTTTATATAGTGGTATTAGTACCCCAATTGATCTTGATTGTATCCCTCTGTTAATGCATTGGGTTTTTTAGCTGCCGCTGCATACTGCTGACTTATTTAACTGGTTGTCCACTAAGACTCCAAGATCCCGCTCACAGTCACTGCTATTAAGCCTGGTTTCCCCCAGTTTATATGTGTACTTTTGGTTTTTCTTCCCTAAGTGTAGGACTTTACTTTTCTCTACATTGAATTTCATTTTGTTAGATAGGGCCCAGTGTTCAAGTCTGTCAAGATCCATCTGGATCTTGAGCCTATCTTCTAGAGTGTTAGCTATTCCTGCCAGCTTAGTATCATCTGCAAATTTGGTGAGTTCCCCTTCTATTCCCTCATCTAAGTTGTTTATGAAGATATTGAAGAGTACTGGGCCTAAGACGGAACCTTGTGGCACCCCACTGCTTACTTCTCTCCATGTAGACTTAGACTCATTAAGGACTACTCATTGAGTATGGTTTGTCAGCCAGTTGCAAATCCATCTGGTGGTGAAGCTATCCTACTTTTTTCTAGCTTATGAAGAAGTAGGTTGTGGTCTACTTTGTCAAATACCTTGCTGAAGTCTAAGTATATTATGTCCACAGTATTTCGCTGGTCTACTAATTTAGTCGCTATGTTGAAGAATGAAATAAGATTGGTTTGGCATGATCTGTTTTTAACAAACCTGTGCTGACTGCTAGTTATTACTTTACTCGTTTCTAGGTGTTGGCAGATCTATTTTTTTATTATTTTTTCCAGTATCTTCCCTGGTATTGATGTTAGGCTGATTGGTCTGTGGTTTCCTGGGTCTGTTTTTTTTCCTTTTTTGAAGATGGAAACCACATCAGCTCTTTTCCAGTGCTTTTAAAAGTAAAAAGAAAAGCCTCCAATGATCGTGTGGCTCAGCTGGGATTGCCAAATGCTTTTAAAAGCCTCTGATGAGCCCAGCTGAGTTGCCTGAGCAGCAGAGGCTTTTTTCTTTTAAATGCCTCTGATGATCCAAGCTGAGTTGCCTGATAGGCAGAGGCTTTTTTTCTTTTAAATGCCTCTGACGATCCAAGCTGAGTTGCCTGATAGGCAGAGGCTTTTAAAAGAAAAAAAGCCTCTGCCGATCAGGCAACTCAGCTGGGATCATCAGAGCCTTTTGAAAGCATTTTTTTACAACCTCTTCGCCAAAGAAGTTGTAGAAAAAATGGTTTTAAAAGTAAAAAAAAAATGGCCACGCCCACCCAGTCACATTACCCCCTCCCCACCAAGCCACACCCACAGAACCGGTAGTAACAAATTTTAGATTTCACCACTGCTATATTCATATTCTTACTGGTTTCTATGTTTAAGTAAACTATTGTATTTCGAAGCCATTTTTTTTACAAAAAAGTTTTGGGCAAATAACCTTTGTTTATTGATGCATTCATATGTAATCCCAAGAGATCATTATTTAATGTGCTCACTTTAAGCATAAATATATAAAAAGGTCAATTGTGGTTGGAGAACATGTCCCTTTGAGCTTTTAAGATAAACTCCATCCTGTGCCAACTTTATTCCAATGACCTTGACAATCTAAAAACAATTGTGTATTCAAAAATGTCTTCAATGTTCCTTATACATACTGGCTTCCTGCAGGCTTTCAATTGTGAACGTGCAAATGCTTTCAAAAAGTCAAAACATTTTGTGTGATCTCTGAAAAGTAAGAGCCAACCCAATCTTAACTCAAAAATACTTGGTGATTTTATTGGATTTCATCATTCGGAATAGGACAAGGTCTAATTGTCCCATCTTTTCAACTCAAAATAACAAGTTCTACTGTTTGGATTTTGACCCTATTTTGTTTTCCTCAGGGAAAAAGACGATTACACTTCGATCTCAAAAAGAAAAACACAGAAGCCATGAATTGTGGAAAGTAAAGCTTTGTTGTCACAGTGTCTTTATTTTTGTCTTTTCATTTTTTAAGAAATGCACACAGAAACTGTGCAAATGCTTCAGAATAGCATCCTATTTTTATGTTACAAAAAATCCCTTTCAATATAAAAAGCATTACAATAAGGAATACAAGTTAAATTAGCTCTAGCCTTCTAATAAAAGGAACATTTAAAATAGATCTCAACATTTACTTTATAAGTGACCTGCTTCCCAGGCACTTGCAACAGTGACAACCACAGAGAGTGAGAAATACTTGGGTGGATCTAGAGTCACAAACACAAACATAAGAAGGAGACAGCCCTGATCCAAGTTCTTCTGGACAAACTCCCATTTGAAGCATACAATCTATGCAGGGGTTTAGCCACATATATCCATTTCACTTAAGCTTGTGTAGAAGAACATGTTATGGGTCATCCCTTCTTCCTAAACAGATTACTGACAAAGGGACGATCAGCTCAGGCACAAGTTCATTTGGAACAGAAATTGCCCTTTAATCTATTTCCAGATCAGGAAGAGAGATAATGAAATTTGGAATTTGCTGGAAGGGTTGGTTCATGTATCATGCCAAGTTACGGATTGTTGAAGCACAAATCTATATTTTGCTGGGTTCCCACAATACACCAAGGTTTATGAACCAAAATGGCTCAGTTTAATTGGATCTGCTAAGCCTAAACCAAACAAATGATATTTAGGACCTAATGGCTGCAGCCTAACTCCAACTAAACAGAGAACAGGAAACCAGTCTTCCAGTCCTTGACTATTCTAAAATGAATTTTGCAAATCTGACAGCACAAAAATCCTAATTAAGTTTTTCTGACTGCACGCTTGGTCAAACCTGACAGTGTTACTTTCAATAATTCTTTTATATAAATACATTACTTTCTCTCCATTAGTGTGGTTTTGCCGTAAGTGTCAGATTTCTTTGACAGGTATCATTGAAGCCAGCAAGTTAATTCCCATTATTTTGTAAAACAATTGACTCCCTTTTCTCTGCCAAAGAAGTGGTGGTCTCCCTTTCATTGGGATTGCTTAAGCAGAAGCTAGACGAAGCCATTACTAAACAGTAGGTTAGACTTGATTACCTATACAGCTAGGTCTGTGTCATTCTTTAGGATTTTCTTTGGGATTATCATGAGTGCCTGTGCTGAAGTAATGAAAAGAAAGGGCAGAAAAATGTTCAAATTGAAGAGCAAACTGGAGATAGCAGAATGACTCAGAATTTGGAAAATTACCAGGTAAGCTAAAGACACAGGGGCACTGAGATTCTGAAACAGAAAGAGAATATCAGGAAACTATATTAGATTTCTCGTAGTTCTGCCATCACCTGCCCCGCCTGTCACTTAATAAGTTTCATTTTTCAGGGTATGAGTATCTTTTGGAGCAAGTGGAGGAAGACAGAGAACATATCTCAGGGCCAACTCCTTGAAATAGGTATTGAGCTTCAGAGATTTCTGAATAAAAATTAACAGCACACTTAGTGCGCTTCCTGTTGCTACGTTAAGAGTAGTTGGAATTAAACAGCCACCAATCACCTGCAGCTCATTGGCTGGATCAGTCCCATCGCAGCAGCCAATAATAGGTTACCAAATCACAGGTCAGCACCTTCAACCACCCTCATCATGCCTAGCATCCTTGTTGAAATAGAATTCTGCCCCCCTGCCCCCCCACTAACAACATGCTTTTCATGTATTGTGGGAGATGTAGGCTATTATCTCTAGATGGGACCAACTAACTGAGTTCTTCTTCAGATCCTGCATACCTGGCTTTCTCATGTTTGGAAGCCATAGTGAATTCTAAATGTACAGAACTTAACAAAATAACACTGAAACCATGTTTGAGAGATTGTCAAAGACTACATTGAGATTTAACTTATCATATGTTAATTAACCAAACAGTCATGATAACTATGATTGTTCTAGAATGTTTTCATCTCATATCAAATAATAATTGCTGGGTTTCCCCAGAAGCTAGACTTCTGAAGATTATTACTTACAGATGAACACCTTGTTACTGTTGCTTTCAACAGGGATTCTCAACATCTCATCTTTGGCATCCTATGTCACCAAATCCTATTCATATTTTTAGTAGTAGGTTACCATCTCTTTTAAAAGTGTCACATCATATTATTTTGCCAGTTTACATCTTTGTCCACCATTCAGTAAATAATGCAATTTCACTCTAATTTACATATTCATCAGAATCCTAAACAACAACATTTAAGGCTGAACAAAATATTCCCAGTTTGAAGCAAGTGTTTTGGGGCAGTTTGACTCTTCTGGAATGGTCAGAGAAAACCATTTCAAACTTGAAGGAACTGTTTAAAACTTGAAATGGAAAGTTTCAAGCTCAAAATTCTTTGTACTTCACATGTTTTACACATTGCTACTTGGAACTTCAGTTCTGGAACTTCAGTTCTGCCTCTTGGGCTTATTGACTGTGTTTGCTGAGTGGATAATAGACCACTGAAGCTAGAACTTGGCAACAGTTAAAAATGAAAAGAAAAAAAAAAACAATCAGAGTATATTGGGTTTTTTTATGCGAAGAATGCCTAAGTCAGAAGCAACACCACAAAATTTACAAATTAAATTTTGCAAAAGGCAACTGCAAAAATGCCTCACTGCTTTCCGTGCTTGTTGGGGATTATTTTTAACGCAGTTGAAAGGCACATGGGGACAAGACACCAAGCTAAATCAATTGCTATATGAAGGCCAAACTTGGCAATGTATTTTTCACAGACCATGATGGTGACAAGACATTCAAAAGCCTAAAAAACCCAAAACAGATACATCTCCTTAGGGGAGGCAGCACCAACAATTCTAGACAAGAACATACTTTTTTTTCTTAAGGTGAGGGAACCAGCAGCTGAGCTGCTTTAGTCTTTGTTTTCACATAACACTGATAAGAAAATTCAGTGTGATAAATGGTATGCACTAAAATGGTATGCACTGATTTCAGCTTACCCTACTTTTCACCATTAGATCTGATACACACAACCCCACCCTCAAGATTCTTGGAGAAGGCATTCTCCATTCCAAGCATTCCTGAATGCTTGTATCTTCTGGATCACACATGAGATGGAAAACTATCTATCTTGGTAGAACGCTTGCAAGTCAAGTGCCAATGCATTTCCCCCACTTAGCTTAAAACTGAAGTAATCTGTATACATCTCAATGCTTTAGATGACAGTTTTGGTATTTTAAATGATGATCTCGTTTAAAGTAGGTAGTCTTCTTTATCTTCTTCAATCAATGGATCATTATTGTATGAGAGATGTGTGTTCCAGACAACATCCTGGATATTATTAGAGTTCATTTCCCATCCTGTCTTGCAGGCTTTTAGTGCAATCCATTTGAGTGGCTTCAGATGAATGACTCCTCTTGGAGATGGCAAGGAACTAGACAGCACCTCAAAGTTCCAGCCCCTGAAGTACAATCCTTTTGATCATTAATATATTACAGTCCTTTCCCTCCTTTTTTAGTTTGCTAACCGAAAAAATAAAGTTTATCTTTTTTTTCTTTTCCTTCTTCAAAGCAAGTCCTTGAAAAATCATTTGTGGCTCATGAAACACTTCCTACTGGATCCCCCGAAAGAGGCACATAGCAAAGATCATAGCAAACAGCTGTAAAAGACATAAAACAAAAGAGAGGGTCCTGGTTATTACAGATCAAACCAAATCCATTTTGTTACAGTTATAGATCTTCAAAGGGGGGCAAGGTTATACAAATAGTCATTATGAAGAAACTTTAAAATGTAATAGGTAAAAAGTTGAATGTAAGAGCCATATAAAGTAGGCATAGAAGGCATAAAGGATATAAAATAGTAAATTTAAAAGGAGTTCTGTATTAAGGTAAAGGTAAAGGTTCCCCTCGCACATATGTGCTAGTCGTTCCCAACTCTAGGGGGCAATGCTCATCTCTGTTTCAAAGCTGAAGAGCCAGCGCTGTCCAAAGACCTCTCGGTGGTCATGTAACCAGCATGACTAAATGCCAAAGGCGCAGGGAATGCTGTTACCTTCCCACCAAAGGTGGTCCCTATTTTTCTACTTGCATTTTTTACGTGCTTTCGAACTGCTCGGTTGGCAGAAACTGGAACAAGTAACGGGAGCTCACCCCGTTACGCGGCACTAGGGATTCAAACTGCTGAACTGCCAACCTTTTGATTGACAAGCTCAGCATCTTAGCCACTGGGCCATGGCGTCCCTAAAGTTCTGTATTAGAGCCATATAAAATATGAATATGAAGTGTGTATGAATGAGGATGTAAGCATGGATATATACAGATCTGTCTGTCTGCCTATCTCTATGAAAATCTAAAGTATTAGAAGAATATTATGGAGTATGTATCTATATGCTATGTCAGAGACTACATTTATGTATAATATGGCAAAATAGGTACCCACTGACTCTAATTATAACAGAAAGGTTTAGCTATACTTAGCTAAAGAAAAAAAGGGAGAACCATTGGAAGAATAGGTCTAGGATTCAATCAAAAGACTTATCAGTTTTATCCAAAAGAAGAATTTTGTATGGAAATCATTAATACTTTTCTCCTGATTCAAGTTTGTATGCTTTTTTTTTAAAAAAAGGGTGGGGAATTCTGTTCTTCCTTAGTCCCCAAGAATTTTGGGGCCAGTTGGCAAATTTGCTTCAAAATTTGTCTGCTTAAAAAAATCACTAAATAACAACTTAAACCAGCTGAAGTAATACCACTCCTTTCCTTAATTGTTTTGATCGCCTCCCTGTGAGGCAATGATCAAATTAAAGCTTCTGTTCTTTAAGAGGACTTCCTTAGTTGACTAATTCCAATAGTTTCTTCCACCTCCTTTTCCTTGGTTCAAATAATCTAATGAGGGATGAAATCGTGCTGTGACATACATTTAAGTACAGAATCACCAACCGCTGAGGATTGCTCAGGACCTCCTAAGCAAGGATGGTTCATCCCTGCAATATGTGGAGAGTTATGCAATCCCATCGAATCTCAATAATCTGCACAAAATCCTAAAAAAACTACTAAACTGACCCGTAAGTGAATGCAGGAATAATTTTCCAATGAATGCTAAATTAGAAAAGGGAATCACTGCTTTGTTACCATGCATTTTTATGAAGTAAAATTGACCTCATCTCAAACATATGCGTTTGGAATGAGTGAGTATGCTATGCCTAACACCAGAGGGCAGTACAGGACAGTTGTTTCCCAGCACGTATAAACACTTCAAATTGGCAACTAGGATTATAAAGGATTTTCAGTGCCTATTCAAACTTCAGACTTCCAAACCAGCTTCCAAACTAATAAGAAGAGGGGTGCAGCTGTTTTGAGTGTCATACCTAACTTTAATCAATTGATTTCTCAACCACCAGGTGCTTTAAGGAATGCTAGTGAAGTGCTGTGTTCACAGAAACCCTAAGGCACTTACGCTGAATTTGTTTTTCCTCAAACTTGGCAATTGTCTGACGATTCCCCAGCCAGGGGAATTCTGGGAGTTGAATTCTACACATTTTACAATTACCAAGTTTGAGAAATACTGCTCTAAATCATTATATATATATACATACATACATACATACATACATACATACATACATACATAAAGTTTATTGTCATTGTACGTATATACACAGTATACCCATACAACGAAATTCACATAACACCCAGAGACCAAGCCCAATACACATGACAATCCCCAGACACACCCCCACCCACCAAAATTCCCCACCCCTAAACCATCCAAACATCCACACAGCAGACCAAGTAATGCTGTCCAACAGGTCACTGATGATTAGTTCATTGTTGAGTGTAATTATAGCTCTGGGAGTAATTGTAGGAATATATAATATATTCCTACAAGTAACTTTCCGACTAGAAAGGAAAAATTCAGATGAGAGGCCTATGGTGGGAACATAAGGAAAATGAGGCATCTTTTGTGGCCAGGAGGATCCCAATTTGCACTGTACCTCGATGGCTAAAACACCAATGGCAAGAGCTCCTGCAAGATACACATAGGTTTCAAGGGAATTCAGGATCACAGTGTAGCAACCCTGGGAAGAAAGAAGAAAATCTATCTTGAAGTAAATGTTTATACAAAGTGAGTGTGTTCAATTAATAAATTACTAAATTATATAACACTCCAGACTGAGGAGACACTGAGCAACTTCCATTCTCTTCTTTCAGTAAAAAAAGATTAAAATAAAAAAGCAATTACAACAAAAGAATACATATTAATAACAGAATTATTAAAAACAAGTAACATGACAAATGATTTATTTATTCTTCATTCATTAATCAAACAAACATGTGCCGCTGCCCATCTTACAAAATGTGAGCCTGGGCAGCGTACAATGAATAAAAACAGCCAATATAAAAATATAGAGTCCAAATTTATTCATTATAATCATATTTTATAACATTACAAAGAAAAATATGGGCAGTGAGGAACAATCAATATTCATATACAACCCAAGACTCGAGCTTTCAGCAAATCCCAGCTGCCTTCCTAGGCTATTCTAAAAGGCCACATTTTTGTAAGCTCTCCTAAAATACAACAAGGTTGAGGCCGATTTGATCTCAGGAGATGAACTATTCCAAAAAAAAAGGGGGGGGGTTGCAACTGGGAAGGCACAACTTCTTAGACCCTCTGGAAGGTGGTCCCTACTCATCCTTATTGAATGGGCAGAAACTACAGGAAGCACAATTTGACAGTTTAGTTCTTGTTTAGTGTGGTCATCTCATCCTAGTCTAGACTGATAAAGTGGAACAGTTAAAGAGTAACCAAGGTAACAAACATGACTGAACAAGTACTAAGTTACAGATAAATTGATGAACAATGTTCATCACAATGAACAAGGTATGAAGGAAAAGAATTCTGAAAATATTTCCCCCCCACATTTTGTTCAGGAAATGTTTGATTGGACTTCTAAGTTTAATCAACTAGTTTTACATTTTGAAAGGAACCTAGATCAGAAGACAGGTTGTAAAATCTCTATGATGTTTAAGCTGTTCATGTGTGCTTTGTGAGTAGAAGCACAACTGCAAGATTCTTTGGTTCATTTTCCACTATTCTGCAGACATTCCCTATGCTATAGATGCATCATCCTTTTTGAATATTAGTCTTATTGTACAAAAAAAGGAAGTTTACCCAAAGAAAGGATACAGTCTTTAATCATTCAGGTAAAGAATCCTATCAAGGCAGGAACTTTTTGCACCACAAGTATTATAAGTATTTTGATCATCTCTTTACCTGTTGGTTCTGATAGACTTCCCTTCCTTTCAAACATTCTTCTTTATTGATGAATGCTGCATCACGAGACTGGAGCTCCCGTTTACAACAAACTTCAGGAATAGCAGGATAGGAATCCAGAAAAATGGAAAGAGAGGTTGCCTCGAAATCTTCCGGACCATTGACACCACAGCACCCAAACTAGCATGTGTGAAAGGTGTTCAAAGGGTTAATACTTGTGGCAGAATTAGGTTGCTTTCTAGGAAATCTGGAGACATATAATAAGCAGCCACCCAAATAGGATTTCTGAATGTATAAACTGAGGATGTAATTTGAGACTTGATGTAAATTTCTATTCCTTCCTAAACATTAGAATTTTCTTTTTTAAAAAACAACAACAACAAAGCAGGTATGTTTCTAGTTATCATGGATATGACCCCAGCTTCAACGTATGTTGAAATCCTTAGTTATAAATAAACAAATCAAGAGAGTGTGAAAAGCCTGAGACTTCGGATTAGCTTCCGATAGAACTGCCTGCTGTTTTCTGTGTTTATGAAACAGAAAACTATTGTGTAAAATAAACAACTATTCAGATTGTCTAATGCTATAATATCAAAAATTATATTTTCAATATCTTAACCTCTTTCACATTTGTTTATTTTGGTTTGTTTATTTTTGTCATTATACAAACCCATCCAGGAACCAGGTTTCTGTGCTTGTTCGAGAAAATGTAATATAAAAATCCCGGCATAGCATTACATATGGACTTGCATATGTTAAGACCCAGCAATTTCCCAGAGGAGTGACACAATTAAAGCAACAGCAATAACAACCTTCATTAGAACTTAATGAGAACATTTTCAAATTGCTGCCTTTGATCCTCTGGTAGTGCCAAACGAGATCATTTCCATAAAATAAGGCACGAACTCCTTAATGGTGATATCTGACTGAAAATTAACTAAATCAGGAGCATATAGAACAGCTTAAATATCAGAATTTAAGCAGCCTGGCACAATTAATTTTGTTTGGTTTTGTTTTGCAATGAACAGAGAACAAAATGGGCACTAGGAAAGCTACTTGGGAAAAACCACTGTTGCTGGTCTTTCACACACATATCCCATGGAGATTTATTTCATTCCTTCAATGTCTGGCAAACTTGCTTTCAATTTTTGCTTTACTTCTGTTGAAAACGGCTTCTATCTTTAAGAAGCAGGAGGTGCCTCAAACTCAAACCTTGCAGATCCCCAACCTAGAGGAATGCAGCCCAGCCAATGCATAAAGACAACAAGCTGATTGTTTGAATGCCAGTCCTATAAATGGTGTCAAGAAAAGGGTAGAAATTTGCAATTGTCACCAGCTCACCTTTTCTGCCTATCTCTTATGGTTAGAGCACTTGGCCACATTAGGCTTCTCTTTGGGCTACTCATATCTACTTGGAAGAAAGTGTCACCACTTAATAGAAATTATTTCTGAATATAGAGATGCAAAATTTTGTTCTGGTGCTGTAATAGCAATAACACTTAAGAGTTATATACCGCTTCACAGTGCTTTATAGCCCTCTCTAAGCGGTTTACAGAGTCAGCATATTGTCCCCAACAATCTGAGTCCTCATTTTATCAACCTCGGAAAGATGGAAGGCTGAATCAACCTTGTGCCAATGAGAATCGAACTGCTGGTAGTTGGCAGAGTTAGCCTGCAATACTGTATTCTAATCACTGCGCCACCACGGCTCTATAATCTTAAATACATTCCCAGAGTGAAAATCCTATTGAACATGAATAGAAGCATTTATACTGTAGGATGGTGAGCTTTCTATTTTTCTCCCCCCTCTTTTGCTTTTCTTTCCTATTCTGACAAAATTAATTATGTTTTCATTCTTTTGTGCAACTGCCAGCCATGGTTTTTATATAAAATGGGTGTCAATTTTGTTTACCTTTGAGTCAAGTTTAGCTCCTAGTACTCTCATGTCTATGGTTTTCTTGGCAAAATTTCCTAAATTGCCACTTATTATTATTATTATTATTTGGTGGGCAGGATTTCCCAATATAGTCTAGACTACAATTCTGGGATTTCCTGATACCAAGCAAACATGAGCCAGTCCTGACTCCGCTCGGTAATTAAGACAAAAAAAAATCCATATCAGGATGCATTAAACAATCAAGTACTTACTGTGATCATGACTGAGTTCCAGGTGGAAGAAAAGACGTCTGATTCATTGTTCCCCTGATAATGCTTTTTCAGTTCCTTGGTAAAAAATTCTCTGGTCAGCTGCAACCAAAACCATGCACAGAAGAGAGAATGAATGAATCCATGCCAGAACTTCAATGCAGGGCTGCATTTCTATTCATGGTAATAGGACTTGAAAGCAAGATTTATAACACAGCTATGAGAATGTGATGGATTAAGCCTACATGGTTAGATGATCCATCCAATGGAGATGCATCCCTGAATTCAAAGCTAGGTAAAGGGAAAAAGTGACATGACAGTGGCCCTTAGAATTTCCTTCACATTTACGGCCTTTTCACATAACACATCAGTTATTACAACAGCATTTTACAATTTCATGTGCTGGCATCTCCAGGTGGTTTCCTACCTTGACAATTCAGTAGTAAGTCAGTACTGAATACAATGGCCAAATCTTGGGGCAGTTTCTCATATTCCATGAAATTTTCTACTCCTTGTTGGATATGATCTTAATTTCATTTTTAAAATGTATTAAAATTTTCACTAACCAGCATCCAAAACATAGTTTATTTTAAATGTATGAGGCCTCCTCTCCCCCTTTTTTTTTTTGCCTTAATCTCTATTTTTGCTGTGATTATGAACATAAGTCAGAACACAAAATTAAGAGTATAATCAATAAAGCAAGTTGACCTTTTTTATTCTTTGCAGAATAGACAAATTTTGGAAATTGCTGACAGTTTCATACAATTTTTCAAAATCATACTTTTTTGGAGACACAGGCATTTTATTCCGCAGAACTGACCATGTTTTTCTTCTGTGGCTCTGTTATGTGCCTTTCTAACATCTTCATAAGAATTGGGAGCACAGCCAAGCAAAGTGGAGGATAGTATTTAAAGTAGGGGCAAAGGAAGAGGAAATTCCACTGTTGGAGTGGACTTTCTTCAATATTGCTTATAGAAACAAAGCTAGAAGTAAAGTATCTATGATTGATCTGCCCAAATAACTATTGAATTTTTTATTGCCACATAATTCCCTCTACAGTTATGAGTTCCATTGTAAATACCCAGGTAAAATAAGAAATTGCAGTGCTAGCATTTGAAAGTTGTTATTAATTCCATCTTCAGGATCTATAAAGAATGTCACCCATGAATTGAGGATTGACTTCTGGTATGGTAACCACATGGACAAGTTCATGTAGGTATTTTGGAAATAATAAAGATGGTTTGCCATGGCTTTCTTCTCAGATGTAGGGTTGGTGGGGTTTTTTTTGTTTTTTGTTTTTTTGCGTTCTACTCTACAGTCCTGTGATTTCTCATGCAATATTAATCACCCTCTTCTTTACTTAGCTTTTTCCAGATCTGTCAAGGCTAGCTAAGTGCTAAGACCTCTCTTAATCCAATGAAAATATAACACATTTTAACAAGCCTGGCAAGATATTTCTACATTCACAGCAATAAAGGGAATGTACACAAATAGTTCAGAATTACAAGTTGCTCTTGGTTGTTTTTTGTTTTTTTTGTCTTGAATCACCCTGGGGGGCCAGTTTTATTTTTTATATTGTTTGCCTCAAACACATTATTACTAAAATTAATGGCCCCTTCTGCAGACCTCATAGGATTTGCTGAGAACATATGAAAGCAATATCTTAAACAACTTCAACAAGAGCAGCTCGATCACTCTAAACGGAAATACTTATTAGTCAGACTGGACAAGAATATTCTCTAGGGAAATAAGCCAGCTCCATCAGGCACCTTGGGGTTAGGAGGTGGCCCATACACACACTCAAGCATTGTGTTTTCCTTTCCTTCTTTTGCATAATTTACGGAGCCTGGACTCCCATCCTGTGGAGGCAGCCACCCAGATATTTTATTGATGTTTGTCTCTTTCCTAAGTGCAGATTTTGAAACTAATATTACAGTTGGTAAGAGTCCCAGTTGGCTTCCTTTGACCAATTCTAAACAAAGGAGCTATTTGAATATAAAGTGAAACCTTTTGTTTTGACAGGCAGGATCCCAATGGAAAAGTTGGAGGATTGTATGTGTGATTTTTATGAGATTTGATCTAAAACAAAGTCCAATGCTGAAACTGTAATGCCAGGAAAATATTCCATTCCTTTTGACTAGTAGAACATTTAGATTTGCTCCACATATTTTACAAAGAAGGGTAATAGAGTTAATGGCCATTTCAGAAGGCTCAACAAAAATAAAGAAGTAAACATTGTAATACTGATTAACAATTGTTTTTCTTCTTTTTAGAAGCTAGAGTTAGACTAGGAAGGTTTTTGTTCATTGTATTGTCAATGCACAAAGCATTTGGATTCACGGGTGATTTTACTTAAGCTTTTGCTAATAACGACAATGATTAGAAAATTAGCTGAATAGTTGACAGAATAGTCTTTTCCTAGAGATGCAGATTCCTTCCTTTTCTGGTTAGAAAGCAGAATGTATTTCTCTTCCTCCAAGATGTTCAGGATAATGAAATACCAGAGAGTTAGAGCAGCAATAGGGGAAAAAAAAAGCATGATTCCAATCAAGTAGAGGTAAAAGAAACAAACAAAAAGCAAATCTGATTTTTATATTGTATTGATTCAGGGGACAAACTTCCACACCCATATAATTGTCAGCAGAGATTTATTAAGCAGCAAAAGTTTCTTCCATTGGAGCCATAGATCAATGTCTTGCTGGCAATCTATTGGGTCATCTTCATTGTATCTATATCCAGAGGCAATTTGGGCAAAATTGTTAGCATAACCAAGAATATGAGACTAAACATGATATGTTTGATTTTGACCATCCTGCCTGATGCAAATATATTAGGTACAAATTTTAAGAACATTTGTTACTTTAAGGAGGCTACTAAAAGACCTGTTCTAACAAAAGGATCACATAATGGTGTTAACGTATGGTAGTGTTATGTCTATATATAATGTTATTATGTATAAAGAAGTTTTTAGTGTAAACTTCTTTATTAAAAATATGCAATACATTTAACTTAAGAAATAGCTTGATATCAATACCTGGGAAAATCCTGGAAAAGATAATTGAGCAGAGGATTTGTGAACCCCTAGAAATGAACAAGATGATTACCAGAAGCCAGCATGGGTTTGTTAAAAAACAGATCATGCCAGACAAGCCTTCTTTGATAAAGTGACTAAATTAAAATTTAGTGAATATAGTATATTTGGATTTCAGTAAGGCATTTAACAAAGTAGACCACACTATCTTGATAAAATAGAAAAATGTGAGATAGATAATACTATCACCCAGTGGAATTCACTGACCAATCGCACCCAGTGTGTAGTCCTTAATGGAGCTACATCTACATGGAGAGAAGCATGCAGTGATGTACCTCAAGGTTCTGTCACTGGCCCAGTATTCTTCAACATATTCATAAATGATCTAGACGAAGGGATAGAGGGGAACTTATCAAATTTGCAGGTGATACCAAGCTGGGGGAAATTACTAACATTGTGGAACATAGACTCAAGATTCCAAAGGCTCTTTACAGACTTGGGAATTGGGTCCTATCCAACAAGATTTAGTCATGTGGTGAGAAAACTAAGGTCTTGCACTTAGGCAGGAAAACCAAATGAAATATAGGTAGTATCTGGCTGATTAGTAGTAACTATGAGAGATATCACCATTTAAGTATAAGACAGAAATGTGCTGCAACTGCCAGAAAAGCCAATGTAATCTTGGACTGCATTAACAGAGCAATATCATCAAGATCATGAGAAATGATAATGACACTTTATACTGCACTAGTGAGGCCGCACTTGGAATACTGCATTAAGTTCTCGTGACATGATACAAAAAAGACACCGAGAGCCTAGAAAATGTGCGGAGAAGAGCAACAAAGATGATAAAGGATCTGGAGGCTAAATCATAACAGGGATGGTTGAGGGATCTAGATATATCTAACCTATCAGAGAGGAAGATTAGAGGGATATGATAATTATCTTCCAGTACTTGAGGGACTGGAGAAGAGGGAATTGACTTTTTCTCCAAAGCACCAGAGGGCAGGACAAGAAGTAATGAATGGAAGCTATTAAAGAGAGATCCAACCTAGAAGTAAGAAGAATTTTTCTGACAGTGAGAACAATTACGCAATGGAATAGCTTGCCTCCTGGACTTGTGGGTGGAGGTTTTCAAAAATAGACTAGACCGTCTGACCAGTATGGCGTGAGGTCTCCTGCCATGGCTAGGGGGTTGGACTAAAACACTTTTTGAAGTCCCTTCCAATCCTATGTTCTGATATGCTCCCATTTATCTACACAGAATACTCACTCATTTCATTGCTTTTCCCATTTCTAAAGAATCTATAATGTTCTCTGTTTGCGGTAGAATTGTATTTACCCTATATTGCAATGCTTGTCTCTGTGAATACAGAGTCTTATTGCTCTTACAACTTCTACTTAGTTAGTCAGAAGTGTTCTTACTTATATCAACAAAGATGATTAGGGGACTGGAGGCTAAAACATATGAAGAATGGTTGCAGGAACTGGATATGTCTAGTTTAATGAAAAGAAGGACTAGGGGAGACATGATAGCAGTGTTCCAAGATCCCAGGGGTTGCCACAAAGAAGAGGGAGTCAAACTATTCTCCAAAGCACCTGAGGGTAGAACAAGAAGCAATGGGTGGAAACTAATCAAGGAGAGAAACAGCTTAGAACTAAGGAGAAATTTCCTGACAGAACAATTAATCAGTGGAACAACTTGCCTGCAGAAGTTCTGAATGCTCCAACACTGGAGCATTCCCAACTTCTTTAAGAAGATGTTGGATAACCATTTGTCTGAAGTGGTATACGGTTTCCTGTCTAAGCAGGAGGGTTGGACTAGAAGACCTCCAATGTACCTTCCAACTCTGTTATTTTATTCTATATGATGGCAGCATGGAGCCTACATTTAGGAATCGGAAGCCAGCATGTTGAATAACCATTAACCAAGCCGACATCTGTCAGTGGCAAATTTTCAAACAAGTAGTTACAAATAAGGAATCTGGGCTAATAGTCAACAGCATAATAAATGGGGCACAATTATGAAGTGGATGGAACTATTTATTCAAAGAAATCATAGTCTTGCTAC